CTGGGATATGAGTGTCATAAAGACAGCATGCATTAATTCTGCTTTTTTAAAAAATGGTGGCACTTAAATGATATAACTTAATTATGTAAACTGTGAGGCATTTCTTCCAAGAGGCCCACAAGGCAGGACAGCCTATATTCTATATCTAAGGAGCTGAGTCATGGATACAATGCTGCTCAATGCTGACAAACCCAGCTCAAGCCAGTTGTCATCCTCTACACAGCAAAAAAACTTCTGCAGCAAACAAGTAAACTGTCAGCTTTAATAAATATACACAGTAGCGCCTCCAGGATTTCCATTCAGTGGAAGCTGCTACCACAGCAACAGGATACTTCCCTCTAGATTTCCCAATTTTTAAAGGGATGTAGAAGTTCTGACCAGAATTTTCAGTGAATTGTAAAGATTTTTTTTTTTTTATTTTTTTTTTTACTTTTCCAGTTTTATCTTCTTAAAGGCATGGCAAGAATCTTATTAATTGGACCTATTCTCTCAAGGATATCTATATAACAAAGAAGAAAAAAAAAACTGAATGCTTCCCTCTGAGTTTTAAAACAAGAAGAATATAAGACAAAACTGTCTGACTGGAGACATTGCAAAATTAATCAAAAAAAGGTTAAATATCATATGAGTGTGCTGAACAAGAAGGGCCAGTAGGATGTTACAATAAATACGCTGCAACTTTGGAAGTCTCTCTTGATGCTGTTTTTGACTAATTTATCCTTCCCAGGATTGTTTCTGATACCCTTCCCACACAAAACCTCTCCTCTCTCACTGAAATTCTTGAGAGAATTACTAAATTAACCCAGACTGCCCATAGCTGCCATGCAGTCATTGGGATTAAGGAAGTTTTAAAGAAAAGTGAATAAGGGGAAGAGATTATCCTACCTTTCCCTCTATCACTTACACTGCAAAGCAGGAGCTTCTTCAATCTCAATAGGATTCTTCTTCTGTATTTCTAACCTAAATTTCCCCTCTTTTACTTTGGACCCTTTATTCCTGGTGCTATCACTACAGTTCCTAATGAGCTGAAAAGCTAACCCCACACTTGCTTTTGCAGGCCTCCAACTCCTTCACTAGAGATGGAATAGTCCAGGCTATTAATGTGGGAGAAACTCCTTGATCCACAGAAAAAAGGGAGGATTAGTGATATAGGCCTAATATTTTGACTTCTTATTGCCTACACTGCACATCTAAAATTAAGGAAACAATCCTGGATTTTAGGATATTCAGAATATTTATGCTGTGTAGGACATACATAAAATGAGAGCTGTCAATACAAAACAGCAATCAAAGCTTACTGCCCAACAGTAGAAATAGAAATATTTTCTCTTTTAAAAATCTCTTTAACCAGTTTTAGAAGCAAAAGCAAGAGCCTGCTTTAAAAATTAATATAGGTACACAAAATGAAGCAGCAAAGTGGTAACCAGCACAAGGAATTTTGACAGCTTCAAATAAAATGCATTCTGTCTGTAGTGTCTCAGCCTTGCCTGAATGAAACATCCAACCCTAAACTTGCCAGCAGATCCCAAACCAAATATTGGTCACTACAGGTCACAGCTGTACATAGAGAGGGGCAAACAACACCATGCCCTACGTTTGTGTATTTAGGCAACATTTATTTATTAAGCATAAAGTTACACTGTCTCATGTTTCTCCAGCTTGGACACATTTGAAGGCTTTGCTGGCAGCTCTGTAGGAAACAAGCGTGATATTTATCAAAATTTAGATAGCACAGCTATTTTGCCCAACCAGGTTGTCAGTACAGAGAGCCTCAACTTTATTGTAATGAGAGCTGTGAGACTTCCTGTTTAATTCTACCAGCAACTCAACCCAGCCCTGCAGTTAGCCCTGGCAGGTTCAGGCAAACAAGAATTACAGCCACTTTCCATACCTGTACATTTAGCATTTGGGTTCTTGTGTTCCCTCAGTATAGTGACTGGAGAGAATTTGTGACAAATCCACACCCAGTTTCCATCAGCTAAACACCTGTGAAGGGTCAGTTCTCCACACACCAAATGATATCAGATAAAAAGAACATGGTTTGAACTGACAGTCCCAGTGTTGCCACATGGAAACCCCCACTGGTAACTAAACCATTTCCAAGGGGGGCAGCCCAGTGTACAAACAGAGTAACACACAGCTGTCCTAGGGTGAAAAGGCTGCAAACCTTCCCAAATCCAAACCTGCAGGATGAGGATCCAAAACCAGTGCAGATGAGGGGAAGGCACAAGTCAGTAAATGAAGGAGGATGCAATGGACAACACCACAGCCCCATGGTTTCACAACCATCAGCCATGCCAGCCTAATCACTTTTATGCTGACAGCACTATCAGGAATGGCATGAAAACATAATTAACTCTGTTTTCAGTACTATTTCATAATCAAATTAATCTGCTATCATTTCCTATGAATTTGGAAATGACCCACAAATGGAGATTCCTGGGCAAAGGAATGCAAAGAGAATGCAAGCAAAGGCGAGAAGTGTCATGTCCTTTACACTGTTTGGTTTCTTGTCATTTTAACAACAAGAAATTATGTCAGTTTGATCAATGAAGACTGTTAGCAGCTCAAGAAGGCAACTGAAACATCTCCTCATGACATATTATTCATTTTTGTACTACACTTAAAGCTAAACCAGAAACAGTGCTACAAAGAAACCCCACAATGCCTTGAGCACTTACCTATATATATTCCATGTGGCCACTGGCAGGTTAAGGAGAAAGATGAACCAGTGCAATGAAATAAGCATTAATACCGTGACAACAGCATGGCCAATCACCTCAGGCACCACCCACTACAAAAAGGGGAAAGAGAAAAGAGTTACACACACATATGTAAAGTCCTTTATGAAAAAGACATCTAATTGGGATTACAATGTGATTATAACCACGTAACAGCAGAGACAGGGTGTTCCATCACAGTGTGGACAAATTTAATACCTTCAGGCAGATTCCACACAAGTAAGCAGAAATCAAGCCCTGAGATATTGTAACAGAGGTGCTTTTTCTAAGCATCACAAACATTTCTAGAGAGCAGCTCTCTGAACACAACTATTCTACATAAGCATCCAAGAAAGGAGAACTGAGAAAATAGACAGAGCTCATTTGAAATCACTGCAGAGAAGAGTGGGTTTAGGGATTCAGATAATTAAAACCTCCACAAACAGCCCCAGGCTTGGAAAAGATAAGAAAGATGGTCAATATAAAAATTGGCATCATAAACTGGGTCAGCCCCTGGCAATTACACGTTCTTGGATTGACAGGATTCTCTGCCATTCTATCTCACATTAAGAAAAAGACACCTTTAAATCAAAGTAAACACACACATGGGAAGGCCATATTGGTTTAATGCCAAGAGTTTTAAGCAGATTCATTTAAAAAGGTACTTTTGTAATGGAATTTGCTGAAAAATGGACATCCAAAAAAAAAATAGCAGAAATAAGGGATACATGCAAAATACTGCCAAACAAGGCACCTCAGATACCCATCACACCCAGTTATTTGCAATACTCAGGTAAAGGATGTGGTTTTCTCAAAGCACAGCAAGTGCAAAGAAGAACAATTTACTTTATTGAGCTTGGAGCAGCATGATCTAGCATTGATGTAGTCACATTCCAGATCTGATAGTGTGATTATCTGAAGTTCAGGATAAGGAAACACTGTACGGTAATTCAGAATACAGAAAGCTTTACTTTTAGCCAATAAACTGGGGACAACCCTCTGCTCTCAGCATTCACTGCCTTGCTCTACCTTGCTCTGTCAAAGGTGTATTTTGTTACATCTCACTCTTATTTTAGAGAGAAGGTTTGGCTACATTTTATCATCAGGCCAAGTGATTTTATTATGTTTTCTCCAGGGCAACCGTTGTACAAGTGCTAAAGTTCAGTTCAGCTCTTAAAACAGACCAAGGAGGCAAACTCAGTACTTTTAGTATCAAAATTGTTACTACAACCCTCGAAACCAAAACTTAATGGGCAGGAGGAGCTAGTGCACTTTTAAACTCTCCTGACAAAATTGTGCAGTTTTAAGCAGTAAATCTACTTTCCTTTTTTTCTCCCGCAACATTTACAACATTGAATTAATTAACACTTTGCCAAGAAATAATAAGAGTAACATTAATTACTGAATGAGCTTTCAGACAGAAAAGTCCTCTCAAAAATGTCTTAGGATGGACGTGTGCACCTCACCATGCTGTCTGCTGCAGAGCTCACAGTTCTTTTCTCTGAGGAAATTAACACTAAGAGATCTTTTTCCTATTCCTAAAAAACGGGAAAAGTCTGTTCATTTTTCAACATACAACTTATCTTCTAGGTTGATTTTTTTTTTTTTTTGAGTGGTTTTGCTAGAAGAACTGTGCAGACCCTTAAAAATCCCATCAAGATTGAAAGAACGTGAAAGGAAAAAAAAAAAAAAGAAAAAAAAAGAAAAAAAAAAGAAAAAAAAAAGAAAGGCAGTTCTCTTCTATTGAGAAAACTAAGGAAAAGAAGGCAAATCAGTGCCTTTACACTGTAAGAACGCCAGCCAGCCAGCACAGGCTGCGGACCAGTCCCTAACAAAAGAAGATGGAAACGCCGCGGAGCCGCAGCTACGAGCGCAGGGCTCGCACGGAGAGCGCCGCTGGCCGCGCTCCGCAGGCCCCGCAGCTCCCGAGCAGCTCCCGAGCCCCGCTCGCTCCCGCAGCCCGCCCGGTCCCTCAGCCGCGGCCCCGCGGAGCTGCGGGCGGCCGGTCCCGCCCCGCGGCCCCGCAGCGCCCGGGCCCCGCGGCCGCCGCCCAGCGCTGCCCCGCCGCCCTCAGCCCACCGGCCCCGCCGCCGCCCCAGCGGGCCCGGCCCGCCCCGGTGCCCCTCCCTGCCCGCGCCGCGCCCCCCGCGCCGCAGGAGCAGGATACGAAGTAGACGGAGAGGAAGATGAGGGCGCAGCAGTCGATCAGCGAGAAGATGAAGACCACCGACTCCATCCCGCCGCCGCGCCCGCCGCGCTCGGGCCCTCCCGGCCGCCGTAGGCACCGCCCCGCCCGGGAGGGCCCGCGCAGCGCGGCACGCTGGGAAATGGAGTCCGCTCTCAGGCGGGGTGGCGGCCATGCGGTGCCGGCCCGGCCGCGTCTCCGATCCCCGGCTGAAGCAGCGCATCAAGCAGGTACCGCCCGCCCACCGCGGCATCCTCGGCACCCCCGGTACCCCCGGTACCACCGGCACCGGGCTCGTGTATCCCCCTGTGGCTGAGGGGCCTTGAGCATCCGGCCCGCTCAGTGGCAGGAGAGGACCAAACCACGGCCCTGCCTCTGAGGGTTTTAGTAAGGCCTTAAAAAGCCTTTAGAAAGGTCTATTGGTTTGTTTCATTGATTTTAATTTTCTGTAAAGTTAGGGGTTTCATTCTATCATTTTTCTGCCCTCTTAAGTAGTTCTGGTCTTGAGTCTGGCTGCTGCTGCTGCTTCACATGTGGAATGAATAGGGCAAAAGAATACTCAAAGTATTCATATATATATGTACCTATATGTGTGTATATACGCGTATGTATATATATATGTAGATATATATGTGTATATGTATACATGTGGTGTATATATATACACCTATACATCTGCATTTATAAATGGTATGTGTATATGTAAATATATATGTGTGTATATGTATATAATTGGACCTTAGGAAGAACTAAACAGAAAGGGTGATCAAACATTGGAATGCGCTGCCCGGGGAGGTGGTGGAGCCGCCGTCCCTGGAGGTGTTTAAGGAAGGACTGGAGGTGGCAATCAGTGCCGTGGTCTGGTGGACACGGTGGTGATCAGTCAGGGGTTGGACTTGATGGTCCCGGGGGTCTTTTCCAACCTAAATGATCCTGCGGTTCTGTGATACTGGCAAATGCTGTTTGTTTGGAAACATGTACAGTGATTTTATTGAATAGCGGAGAAAAGGACAAAATGGGATTACTTCCCAAATACATGTGGGAACAACAGGGAAAACTGTGATTCCTTCGAGTGCATCTTATCACATCTTATGATAGTTTATAATGACTTTGCAGCTTGAACACCAGGTTTCTGAGCCTCTGTATAAATATACTCCACTTCTAATTCCTTAAAATGAGACAGTGGCTGCTTGGTTTAATTCACAAGATCGCACTGAGCACTGTGTCTTGGCTATTCCAAAGTGGAAAACACAGCTGGGTTTATGGTAGCCTTGATGTTTTGTGCTGAGCAGGAGCTGCCCATGGGTGATCTGAAGTGCAGCATAATTTTAAAAGCTAAATATGTATTCAGTTAGATTGTTTTGTATAGAGTTATAAATTTAAATGAGGATTTGAAATCCTCCTTGCTCTGACATTGGTGATACCAGATCTTTTAGTATGATTCTGTATTTTCTTCCTCTTTTTCAAGAAGGAATCCATCTTTATGGTATCAAAAGTTCTCGCTGCTGATTTGGCGAGTGGGGGAAGAAAGCAAATGGAGTAGAGTTGTACATGAAATTTAGTACATTTTCTCACACTTTCATAACTGGGGTTTGAAAATGGGTTGGATTAGCTGCTGTCAGAGCAATAAAAATGCTTGGGAGAGAGAATTCACTTTATTAACATAGTTCTCTATAGTGCTCTCTGAAATGTCTTGTAAAGATTAAGGTTGTTCTTATGAGAGAACTGCTGATTCAAATAGATGATTTCATTTTTAGGGCAGGAGATCTAAACCAAAAGGAGGATAACTCAGGGGAACCAGGACAATAAGATGGTGTTGGGTTAGCTCTGTTACTTTTATTTAGCTTTCTTGCTAAATAAACGTAACAGAGTTGACCTAAGAGAAGTCATCAAATTCCCCAGATGTAGGATGCTGCCTTTCCCCAGGAAGCAGAGCTGCCCAGTAATCTGTGCTTTAATAAGCATTTCCCATTTCATTGGGAAATACTTTCTGCTGTGTTGCAAGGAGTGAAAAGCTGATTCTGATTCTCATTTCAACTTCTAAGGAGGGAAGAATTTAAAATAGGTATATTTGGTAGAGCTGTTCTGGTGAAATGATTGACAAAGATTTTATTCCCTGCTTAAAATTCTTCATTTCAGTATCTTGCAAGTAGTAAATGTGGGGAGTATGTTGACATTGGAATTCTAGCATCTGATTTGCAGAAAACCTACAGGTGAGCCAAGATTTGTCTTCTTATATCCTGTGTTCAAAATGTAGAATATATTAGTCTGTTCTATTGCATTCATTATGAAAGTTATAATTTTCTTTATGTTGCCTTCATTAGCAGTTGTTGAGGTTGATTGAAGCAATAAGATTGTTTCCCTCTGTTGATATATTTAATGGCTCATATTAGATCATTAAGATCTAGCTGTGGTTTGTGTTTTTCATGGGATGATTTTTTTTTTGTTTTAAATAAAAAGCTGCAGATTAGTTGCAGCATGTTGGGGTTCACCCCAGTGAGATTAAAACGTGAGAGAAAATGACACCTCAGTGCAGACATGGGGGAGGGATAGAGGATCCAGTAAGACACTAATTAATAACTTGCCTGGTTGCTCAGCAGGACAATCACGTTTTTACCCAGGTAGTTTTTAATAAAAACCTGGGTGGAAGCTTGAGAGTCAACTTCCCATGTACCTTTTCCACTGGGAATGACATTACGTTGAAGGAAAAATCAGTTGGTGCAACCTGTTTATTTTGGTTTTTTTCAGTGTAGATTATGGACGAAGAAAGAGAAATGCCTTTAGGATACAAGTTGCAAAAGGTAGATCTGTTAATATTGTGCTCAAGATTCCAAAATCTTTGATTATGCTTTGGCTGTTAATGCTTAACATGGTTGAACTTTTTCCTGCAGTGTTTGAAATAATCAGTAATGAAAAAGAACGCGAAGATTTGTCAGTTTTAGAATCTGAACATGTGGCAAAAAGAGCAAGACAACAAGAGAAAAATGAGTAAGAAGAATTTTTACCACTAGATTAATAATGTCATTGCTGTTAGTGTTTCTTTAAAGCTTTCTGGGTTTGGTTTATTATATTTTGGTTGCTTCAAGGTTCCAGGTGGATCCCATAGGCTTGTGTTCTTCAGAAGTTACCTGTAGCTATTGGAAACTTTTTTGGTGCTGAAGACAAGCAGATATTAGAGCCAATTATGATTTCTCTGTTGTGGGGAACATACAGTCCTGAATTAGTGGACAACCTTATGGCTTCCTTGATAGTTTTCCACATAATGCCCTGTTCCTCATGTGTTTCAGTTCCTTTGTTTTGTTCTTAATCGTTCTTGGGTGTGAGAGATACTGGCCACATCTGAGCGATGAGACTACCAGACAGGCTGTTCAGAGTAAATCACCAGTGGGTGTGAGATTGGAATGAAGATTTCCTGACTCCTAACCCTGTCCATAATCTCATGGAGTGCTGTGTTTTCTCTGACCTGGAAGAGATATTGAGGATCTCAAGGGAAAGTAGGACACTGTTGTCAGAAGGATTGTTCTGGTTCAGCAGCGATTTGCTCCTATTTCCCTTGGTGAACTGAATCAGAGTGAACTCTACATCACTTTTATATAGATCTCTCTTTCAGACAGGTTGGCAAGTTGATCCAACTCATCACACACTTGGAAAAGATGCAATTTTTGACTTTTAATACCAGAAGATTGAGAGCATGGGAGTCAGGAATTTCTCTACAGCATTAGGCTACACACCATGATTATGGGGAACCACATTGTATAAATCACTTTTGTTTTATTTTACAGGTGTCTCACTTGCAGTTCTGCTCTGATAAATTAATAGTTTTTGTCTTCCTTCCCTGTTAAGCACCACTGGAAGTGGCACAGATGACTCTGACTATGATGATTATCCAGAAGATCTAGTAAGTTGTATTTTATTATGATTGTTTGTACTTGTATAATATATGATTCTATGTTGTGAAATTGCACTTGGCGGGCTTGAAAAGGGAGATAGAGTTAAGGTCTAGTCAGAGTTAGCAATTCCAATTGAGAATCTGTGGAGCTGGAAGGAGGCTGTTTCCTGAAGGAAAAAGAGGAACTTGTGGTGGGGAATCACTTTTGGGGAGGCACGCTGAGAGCCTGAAGGACTTGGCTATCACAATGAGTGAAGTGATTGAAGGAACTGACATCTCCAACTGCCAAAAGAGGTGTCTGCTCATTAACAGGAGTCATTCCAGGGTAAATTGCAAAGGCTGCTGCCCCTTCAGCCAGCACATGCAGGTTTATATGCAGTCATTTGATTTGCAGAGGAGTGGGTTGGAAGATGCATTGCCTATTTTCTTCAGCAGGGATAACGCTGAATTATGTTTATTAAATAGTTTTCATTGATCTCTAAATATAAATAATCCTAGTTAAAACCTCATGTATTTTCTTTACAAATGTGTAAATCTGCAGTCTGCAAATCACATGAACAGTTCCCTGCTGAGCTTATACAAGAAAGGAAATCCTGATTCTGTTCCATCCACTCCAAAAAATGACCCAGTGGAGACCTCTCCTCGTGTGAGAACAGCACCTCACACAAGCACCCTCGCACCAGAATCCAGAGGTGAAAGACGAATCTCTGATGGTGGCTGGTTCATTGATAAAACTCCTGATGGGAAAGACTTCTTCATTGACCTTTCTGAGGATGGAGAAGGAGAGGAAAAGAAAGTGATTTCTGAGGTACTTTGTGTTTCACAAACCCAAGGTGTTCTAAGTAGATGCATAAGTAGAATTGGCCCATGTTGTAAATGTAGGTAAACCTGATGGGAAGAGATGAGGATGTCTGACTCAATTCAGAAGGCTGAATTATTTCTTTCTTATAATTATGTTAAAATATATTAATATACTATATAAAGGAAGACACTAAAAACTACAAACTTACTTGTTCTAACTATATCTCTAACTCAAACTCGTGACCCTCTTGCAAGAGTCCAGACACAGGTGGATTGGATTGGCCATCAGGCCCAAACAATCCACCATGATCCAATCAAGCAACTAGTCCAGGTAAACAATTCTCCAGACACATTCCACATGAGAAAAACAAGGAGCAGAAATAGAAATAGTTTTCTTTCATTTCTCTCTGTGAACCTTTATGAAAAATCCTGAGAGAGGGAGAAATGTGCTTTCCACAGGCCCATTTCAAGCATGTTTGACAGAAGGTAGAAAGTCACCAAGTAATGAATTTCTTCCAGATTTTTTTGAGGAAAATGTAATTGTCAGTATCAAGGAGGCCCAGATTAGTGTCCATACTGAGAGAAAGATGAGTAGAACATAGCTGTTATTTATTGCATTTGCCAGTGACCACTAACTGGGCTGTGGCTTGCTGCAGCCACAGCAAGTGGTTTTCCTTAACCAATGGTAAAGTCTTAGTGACCCTGGGGAAACTTCTTTTTATTTCTTTTATCCTGTAATAGTCCTTCTCTCGCATGCACTTAACTTGTGTTAGCACTGAATAACATTTTCTTACACCCCCTTGTGACTTACTAGAAATAAAACTTGTTTCCAATGGAATAAATACATTTGTATGGTTGCATTCATGCCCAAAGTGGATTCCTCCTTGGCATGTAAATAACTGGTGTCTGATTTTGGTTAGTAGTTTTGAGGGGGTTTGTTTGGTTTTTTTGATCTGTTCTCTTAACAAAAAAAGTGACTATTGTAATTGACCCATTTAAAAATAAGGCAAATCCTAAGTAAAAGAGTTCCTGCAAAAAGGTGTACGTTCCTGCCTTTCTTGTCTTTATTTATATAATTTGTAGTTTAAGTTTTTGCAGAAGTTCACTGACTTGGAAGGTTTTGTGTATATAATTCTGGTTTTATGTCCTAGAAACCAACAGAATTTTCTGTCTTGGAGAGTGAAAGAAAGAAGACAAAGGGCAGGAGAGCAAAAAGGAAAAAAGGAGAATTTCCAGACGTAGATGGAGAAATTGAATCCATGTTACTTAAGAAAGGTGAGAAGCTATTTTTGGTATGTTACTCCAAACAAAGAGATAGTATTAGACCTTGGAATCTGTTACCAGAGAAGTATTTTCTGATGTGCAGAGAAGTGACCCCAGGCAGTTTTTAAAAGAAATTTAGCCTTAATGTTGTACTAAAATAATACCGCAATCCCATGTCTACTACTGAAAAATAATATTACACTGTGTGCTTAGCTATTTGTTTAGGCTGAGTACGTTTTGTTCAGTATTAGCAAATACATTTACACCATGGCTAAATTTGTGTCTTCTCTTCTTTAACAGTGAGAAATAAGGGGTCAGAGCTTTACCACCCTTCAGTGAAGTTTGAGGATGTAGGAGGCAATGATGAAACATTAAAGGTTAGTTAAAATTTTATTGGTGGGCTACAGGATGCACTGAATGAAATGTGTCATGAAAAATGGCAGAGAAGAAATATTGCAGAGTTCTGCAATGGCATGAGTAAATGAGTAATGTATCTGCATGGCACTGAGTAAAGCTGCTTATACCAAAAGCAAGGTTGTTGGTTTTTCTCTAAATAATCTTTCTGTAAGCAGTCATTGAAGTCAGACTGATCAACAGAACTTGTTTTATTTTGCCCTGTCTATAAGCATAGCAAATACTAATTTCTGCAATTTAAATGGAGATTTCTCTTGTTCTTAACAGGAAATATGCAAGATGCTCCTTCACATCCGTCATCCTGAGGTCTACACCCACTTAGGAGTGGTTCCACCTCGGGGCTTTCTTTTGCATGGGCCACCGGGATGTGGAAAGACCCTGCTGGCACAGGCAATTGCTGGGGTGAGATGGCTTCACATTTACAGCTTCTTCCTTTTCTGGGTTACTTTTAGAGGGAAAGAGAATAATATTCTTTCAGAAGAGACTAGAGCTTTTAATTTTAGCCATCCTGTGATAGTCTGAAATATGTTAATCTTTACTTCCTTTGTTTGAATTCCATCTGAATCTTTTACTTGATAGAACCTCATACATAAAGAGTCATAGTGACAAGGTTTTATCTGTGATTTAACTGCTTGGAGGCATTCCCACAACAGAGCAATACAGACACAGGTGTTTTGAGAAGGGTATAAATGAAAGATAATTTTGGTTAAATTTACCATACTGTTTCAATCTAGACTCAACCTTACCACCTTTTATAAGTCATTACATTGATTCTGTTGGTTATTAAACAGCTGATTTCTGAATTCCAGAACTGGATCTTGCCTTGCCTGTGTCATACTGATGTTTTCAGAGTACATGACGTTACTGGTGTTAATAGTTTGGGGTGAAATTGAAGCTGTTGTGCTACTGTTCCTGTTTTGGATATAAAAAAGGGCTCTCAGTGATAGCCATGGACATTTCTTTAACACAGTTGCTCCTTAAATGTTACTGATTATAACCTTAAATTTAAATGCATGTAAATTACTGACTTTTGTAGTGCAGATAAAGAAAATATATTTATTCCTGAAATGCTGGTTACACACTTCTGACATTGTTTCAGATGTTTTAATTAAGAAGATTTAGATGTTTTCTTTGTAATATTAGAATATCTTTCTTATTGTAAAATAGAACCCTTTGAATAATTTGATGATATTTAATGCTTCAGTAAATATCCGTGTGCTGGAAAGGTACTACATTTGAGGAAAGAAACATGTCACAAGTGAAAAACTTGGAGATTAAATAAATTTAATGACTGCTTCTTAAATATTTTTTTTTTAAATAAGAGATTTTCAGTAGTGCTCTTTTAGGCATATTACCTTCTTTGAGCACCATAGAGTCCCTGGCAGCCTTGAGTTGCATAACTTAGGGTTCATTTTCTTTAAATGTTAAATTAGAGATAGTTTTCTTTTATATGTATTTCCAAGGCCTTGGAATAGGCTGCAACAACCTCTAGCACTACTGTGCTACAGTTTATTAATATTGCAGTTGTGATATAGCAGAAAACTTTGATATAGCAGAAAACTTTGAGTGTGAGGTTTGCAAATGCCTTACTGTACAATCCTGCACAGATATTTCTGGAACAGGACTCTGGGAACCAAACCTGCTGGGGAATACCTTCCACACTGCTAAGCAATGCTTTGTTACCCATTTTAAGTTGGAGGATGCTCCTTATCTTTTTTACCAATTCCTAAAGATTTAGTCTTGAGTATGTAATTTGTAGGTTTAAAAGATGTCATACTGAAAAATGTTTGTCCTCAAGGACAGCCAGCATTTCTAACCTCTGGATATATCATAAAATATTCCTTGTTTCCTCCAGGAGCTGGAGCTCCCAATGCTGAAGGTGGCAGCAACAGAGATTGTGTCTGGAGTGTCAGGGGAATCTGAGCAGAAACTGAGAGAGCTGTTTGATCAGGCTGTGGTAAGACACCCACTGAAAATAGCTCTGTGAATTGTTTGTCTTTTTCATTATAAAGATCCATACCATTGCTGTGGTTTGAATTAAATGTGAGTGAATCTTTATCCTGCTACACACATGACTTGTCTCCCCTTCTGTGGCCAGAATTCCATTGTACTGTCATGATCTCACAGAGCACAAAGCTTACTATTCTGAAGCCTTGACAAAAGATGGTTCATCATAGCAATGTAAAGAGAGCAACATAAATTATTTACGTATTTGGATCTGCTTGGCTTGATATGTAAAAAAAAATTAAGAGCCATTCATTGTGCTTTTTTGTGACAAGGGGTTTTTGCTAGTTTTGTATGGCATGGAATTTGAGTGAATTGAGAGATTTTAGGCTGTGGCAGTCTAGGCAGAGAGCAGGAAATTTGGAACAAACATGATAAGAGCAGGAGAAAAGTTAAAGTTGGAGTCTTGCTTTGGTGTGACTTCTGGATGTAGTAGGAAGCAAAGAGAACAGGACAGGTTGAGATAATTTTAAGAAATGCAGATGTTTCTGGTTTTTAGTACGAGGCTGATGTTTTATTTCACGAGGCCGGTCTTCTGTTCCTGCCTGAGAATGTTCTGGTTTTCTGACTTTATTTCATTTTTCTATTCTCCCCCTAAACTGTTTGTAGGTATTTAAAGTATGCCCCTAAACAGGGCAGAAAGGTTGTTTGCAAAGCTGTTTGTTATGTTTCCTGTTCATACTAAATTTTAATTTTTAGAGAGCCTTATTAAGAAATTGTTTAAAATAAAATTACATAGGTTATGACAAGGAGTTTTTAGAAATAATATCTAGTGCATAAAATACGTCTAAAATAAAATCTCTTGCCTTTCTGATAGTCTCCTACATTCCCTTAAGTAGTTTTCGCAGCAGTTTTTGTGCAGGGGGGAAAGCCAATAACAAAGATGACTCATGGTTTGTGTGCCGTGGGATTTTCCCGGCCGTTCCCCCTCGGTGCCAGCGGGAGGGAATGACCACGAGATGGCGCAGCCGGAGCTGGGATCACCCAGTGCCGCTGGGGAACTTCTTTGGAGCAAGGCTCCGCTGTTTTCCTTAAGTATCCCTTTGCACAACGAGTGCTTTTCGGGAATATTAATGGTCTTACATCAGCTAAGCACCGTTATATTAGTTACACTAATTACTGATCCGTATTATTATTGGATTTTGATGAAGTTCATGGAAGTTTAGAACACTTGTGTGAGTTTCTTACTGCTCATTTTTACTCTTTGAATGTGGTCGGGCTCTGTAGTAGTCTTGAAGTTCCATGACCACCTACTGCTCCTTTTGTTTCGTTCTGTGTGAAAATAATGCTACTCTTGAAATTCCACATCTCTAATGTCACTAACAAAACAAACAATAAACCTAACCAGACCTTTCTTGTGTGATTGTTGTTTATGGACTTCAGCGGGCAGTCACAATGGAATATTTAGGGAAAACATAAGGCAACAGAGAGGTATATTTAAATTTTAGACACTGCTTGGAGACTGTCTAAAATTTAATATCTTGTGCCTTAATCATTCCATAGCTTCAGATCAGTGAAGTTTCATAGTCTGTTGGCTCTCCAGATTGTCAGCAAGAACAACAGAATTATTCCAAGATTTGATTGTATAGAAGATTTACAGTAAGAGTTAGAGATCAGAAAACCTGAAACATCTCTTTCTCTGTCAGTGTGATTTTGTAATTATGAATCTTCCCTGTTCCTTAGTCCAGTGCTCCCTGTGTCCTCTTCATTGACGAGATCGATGCGATCACCCCAAAGAGAGAAGTCGCATCCAAGGACATGGAGCGGAGGATTGTAGCTCAGTTCCTCACTTGTATGGATGGTGAGTTTCAGGAGCAGCTGTGCTAAAAACAGATTATAATTATCAGGCTCACTGTCTGCTTCCTTTCAGTAGTGACTTGTGCTTACTTTAGAGGAGGTAGTGGCAATAACTTTTCTTATTTTGACACAGTTTGCCTGGGGAATGGTGGGAAGATCATAATAAATTTGAAGGGGTGTTAGTACAATATTTTCACAGTCGTCTGTACAGCATTATATTAGCCTGTCTGTTGTAGAAACAGAAATAATGGGAAATCTGTTAAATTTATTCATAATTAATGAATCTGTTAATTTTTAAATTTTTGCTTCATTGTGCAAAATTCAAGTTTTAGATAGTAGAGACAGAGATGAACAGTCTGACTGATTAGTTTATCTCTGCTGACTACTATAATGTGCTGCAGAAACAGAGTCCCACAGATATGGGAACAAAGTTTGGACAGTGAATATGTGTACTGACTTCCTTCCTTATTTCCCTTAGACCTGAATAATGTGGCTGCCACCACCCAGGTCCTTGTTATTGGAGCAACAAACAGACCTGACTCCCTGGACCCTGCACTGAGGAGAGCCGGGAGATTTGACAGAGAAATTTGTTTAGGGATCCCAGATGAAGGGGCAAGAGAGAAGTATGTGTTGTGAAGTTAAACTTTTTTTTTGATACATTGACAAATAAGAAAATAATGTGCAAGTTGACTTACAAATTAAGGAAAAGTACTTTGGTGTGCTTAGTTCTGTTTGTGCCTGTACACACCTGTGGGTCAGCACACACTGAAAAGTTGCAGAAGACACTAAGTGAGCACCTATTTGTCTTGGTAGCTCTGCCTAGATGTGGAGTAATTTCCATTCTTGTGTGCAGATCTGCTTTTAGCATTATGTTAATAACTTTCCTAGTGCCTTAACAGTACAGATGATGTAATTTTTTATTAATTTTTTATTATTTAACACATAACATGTCTTTCCTCATGTTCAGGAAGTTAACATTCTGTCTTTGGTGCTTCCAATGTAGGTATTAAATTAGGAATGTAAATTAAGTAAAGCCTGTTTGTACCTTAAGCAACAGGCCTGGATTCTTCCATTACTTTCCTCATGGAAATACACCAGTCCAGGCATTAAGCTGAGATGCAGTCATCCTGTGTTGTGTAACTGTCCCTTTTTACTCCAAAGATCTATGACTATCAGACTAAGTTAAAAGAAATAAATCCCTTTTTGCATTTTTAATTAAAAAGGAACTGCTACACATTTTCTCAACAGCCAAAAACACAGGAAGGGAAGTTTGAAAAACTTACCGCTTATCTTGTTATGGAAAGGAAAGAAAGGTTAAAGGATAAGTTTCTTAGTTTCAAATAATAATATTTTCAGGTTGAAGAGGCAAACACAGTGGCCTGCAGTATTGCCCACTTTGTGTTGTCAGCACTCAGGCTTTTATTCCCCCTGGGTTGTTTTTTTTTTTTTTTTCCTCTTCCCTTTTTTTTTCCTCCAGATTTACTGCCCTGTACTAATTGTGTTCCTCTTGGCTGTGGGCAAGACATGCAGGTGGTTAGAGGCAGAACTAATGGGTACCTGAGGAGAGTTGTGATTCTCTCATAGTTCCTAGGTGCATGGTAAAATGATGATACTCCCAAAAATAGCATGGAGAGGAGTTGTGGATGGCAGAGCCATGGTGGTGTGTAGAGATCATTCACAGGTTCGGGTGGAGTCACAGGCATTCATGGTGTTGTTTGTTTGTATTTTTGTTCCTGGAGGTGTAGGTTTACAGGGACTGATGATTTTCTTTTTAAATTCTTCCCTCCTCCTGCTTTCTGTTTTGTTTTTTGGAGAGCATGGTGGTGTTGATTTCTTCCTTTATTTTAAAATGAAAGGGTTGCATAGACCTTATGTGTCCTCACAGTGTGCTGATTTACAGGGTGAGTCTTGCTGAAGGCAAGATTTGAACTGCTGAGTTGTGGTTCTGCAGCCTTAAGGGGTGGAGTGAGATGAGAAAGTGTACCTGGAGATCTTGCTTTACCTGTAAAGTGTTTTCTTGTGCAAATTCGGAATGAGCCATGTGTAGTCCTGAACTGTTTACACTTCAACTCAATCGATTAACTGCAGCTCTTGTCAGACAGGTTAAAAAATCTTGAGAAACAGGCTGTTATCCCTAATAAAGATTGAAAAGAGATGACAGAACTTGCTAGTGGGGAGGGAAAAAGATGAAATATATTACAATTTTAGAGTTTTGAAGAGTTTAATCACTTGGGTTTTTCATAACTTTTCTGTAGTTACATTATTTGATCTAGAAATAATTTGAACTAGTTTTTATTGGAACTAGGAGTATGTTACTGATCCGGACTTCTTTGGTTTGTGCTGTCTTTTAAAAATATTTTCCCAATGAAATTATATTTTGCTGTTGTATTCTTGTATTCTGCTTTCAGTGGTCAGGTAAAGATACTGAAGATTAAACCAAAGCTCCTCACACAGTCTGATTTCATTAGCTTCTTGCAGAACAGCTTGTTGTAGATGTTCTTCAGTAAATAAATTTCTACAAAGTGGCATGGAGCAGACATTGCAGCCTTAGGTTGTTAGGAGTGCAAGGTTAAATTTATCAGAGGATAACTTGTGTGCATCTCCGTGGTACACTGAGATTTACCCTGTCAGTTTTTAATATTAGAGTTGAAAGGTGACCTGTAATTCTTAAGTCGTCAAAACTACTGATTAGCAATGCCTGGTTGAGGCTGTTGGGTTTTGTTTAAGAAGTGACAGGAAGTTTATAGCACAGTTCTGTGGGTTTCAGAGGTGGTTACTTCCTATTTGAGCAAAAATTTCCCACTGTGCTATTTCAGTTCATGTGGACTGAAAGAGACATTAAATGCTGTATGTTTTCATGTGAAGAAAAAAAAAGTAACAGCTTTTTCTCCAGCTTTATATTTTTATATTTTCTTTTTTTTTCTTCCCGTACTTGATTAGAATTCTTCAGACTTTGTGTCGCAAACTGAAGCTCCCGGAGTCGTTTGAGTTCCGTCATTTGGCACGGCTGACTCCGGGCTATGTGGGGGCTGATCTGATGGCCCTGTGCCGTGAGGCAGCCATGGGCACAGTCAACAGGGTCCTGATAACATCTGGGGAGCACCACACACCTGGGGGGAGCACGGCTGAAGGAAGCCCAGGGGTAGGAGCAGACATCCTGGAGGAAGAGGGCAACAACCAACCACAACTTCCACCTAAGGTATGTGTCCCTTGAAGCATGTGTTTTTAACATCTGAAGAGTTGAGCCACTTTGCAGTTATGAAAGTCATTTCTCATAAATTCTCAAACATCCACAGCCAACCTAATATTAAATTTAGATGTAGAAATGGCAGCTTCTAAGGCAGCATAACTGCTAATGACACATATAATGGGCCTGGAAAAGTAGAACCCAAACCCCAGTCCTAAAAATTATGTTCATGTTTTTATACAAGGTGTGTTTTTTCCCTGGGATTTTTTGTTTTGTTTGTGTTGCATTGTTTTGTCTTCTAACAGAGCAGAGTTTCAGAGTGGCTGTACTTCTCTTCAAAAGTGTATTGACTGTAACAGAATTTTAAAAGTATCAGACTTGAACTGAGTATTTTGCACCAGCTGTTTGCTGTGCCCTCAGTGACATGTCTGTGATGATGCCTAGGGCTCTTCCCTGACCTGGTAGAGTTACAGTAAACCAGTCTAGAAGTATTTATGCAGCCTTTGTTTGCCTTCCAGCTATGTGATGACTTGAAGTAAATCACATGTGTCTAGTACCTGTAGCAGGTTTGAGTAAGAGAGGAGCTGTGAAAATGCAGCACAAGTGGATCTTTGTTGCAGAAATTAGTATTTCAAGTGCCAGAATTACTCTCTGGTCTAAGTAACATGAAGGTTAGTGAAGCAGAACAACTTTATATAGAAATCCTTGGTCCTACTTCTCAAAATTTGGAGTCTGTATATGCCTTCATTATGTGCAGGCCTCCTAAAGATTTGTCTGGAGATAAGTGGGCCTAAATGCCCATTGTGCTCAGGTTCTGTTTTCAGGAGGGCTGTCAAAGAGCAGTGTCGCTGTGATGACAAGAATCAGTATAAAAAGCTGTAGTAAGCCTTTGTATTAGTGCAACATAAGCATAGTGCTTATACCTCCCAGTGCTTCCTGGGGCCTGCTGTAGCCAGAAGAAAGTGGGGAAGGGCAGGTAGTTGCAGCTTTTATCAACATCACCATGATCAAAGGGGTCATTGAGAATGAGGAAGTCTAATCCTAACAAAGCCATGTTTTGATAGCTGGCAGGAGGTTGACATAGTCTAATACAGGGTATTGTCATTAAAACCCTTGTATTATGTTTATAATGGTAAAATAAACATACAAAACCTTTAAAAATCATTCACACAATTAGAGTAAACAAACCCAGTGGTCGTGGCTATTTCAGAGGTTCTCTCAATGGCTCTGTTAAGAGGAGGAGGGAGGACCAAAAAGGAATATCAGGCATTCAAAGCACTTGTATTTCTTTGTGGTCAGCTGTAGAGCTATCCTATCTGAATTTGATAGGAAGTGATACTTTTTCTTTCTAGTCCTGTAGGAAAAACTTTGAAACTTAACAGAGTTTTTGGGCTTTTTTTCCCTCTATTTTATAATGAAAATCCTGATACAGTTTTACTTGTAGTGCAGTACCAGTTTGCTTTGCTGCTGCCTTTCTGTATTAGAATGGGAATGCATTTATGTTGTGAAGATCTAAAGTTCTTTGATGGAATGTTTTCTCAGTTCCCAGTATGGAACTGATCGGAGAAATTGGAATGTACCTCCCTTGGTCGCTGTGGTCTGCAACATGGGGCAGTGCAGAAAAACATTACCCTGCATCTCTGTCCTATTTGCCCAAATTTTATCAGGGCCTGATTGCAGAACCAGGTCTAACCAGGCTGAGGAAATTACTTGTCTTGAAATTAGATAGGTGTTAAATCAAAGTGAATGTTCTAGAAGTGTGTTAAGAGTTTTAACAGTTGATATGGAACTGAATATTCTGCAAATTGTTGGAATTGTGCTGTCCAGCAGTTTTCACTTTCTCTTGAAAGCAGTTTCTTGTTAAAAGCAGAATTAATACATATAAGTAATACATATTTTGGAAATACCTTTCTCCTCGTCAATGTGGGAGAAGCAGTAGGAAGAATTGGAAGGCAAAATACATGTGCTAGCTCATTTTTTGTAACATCTTTTAGGCTCAGTTTAGTGCCTTCAGACCTGTTAAATATATACAGAGCTTCCCTGAAACATTTTTTTCATTTATAGTAATTTACATATTTTATGTGCATTGTATATAATAATGTGATTGATAGTTGAAGTATGGCTTTGAAAAAACCCTTTAAATGGTTCTGGAAGTTTAACCCAGTTGCATAATCTTTTTCTCTCCCTTTCCATGTACGTTAAGGATGAATTGCAGAGACTTTTGGATTTGCTGAAGGAGCAAGCCCCCTTGCCTGAGGAGCAGCTGCAGAAGCTGTGCATTGAGATGAATGATTTTATTGTTGCACTGTCATCAGTGCAACCCTCTGCCAAGAGAGAAGGCTTTGTCACAATCCCTGATGTGACATGGGCAGACATTGGAGCCCTGGAAGATGTTCGGGAGGAGCTGACCATGGCAATATTGGTATGTCCTAACCTCACTTCCAGAGGGCTTTTGCACTCTTGTGCAGGAAAAAAACCTGTTGGTTTTCTGTATTTATTTAAGGTATAGGGCTGTTTTGCAATATCTTTATTTAAAACAATCACTCTTGTATAATTTACTTCAGAATTTGTTTGAAGTCTGGTGTTTGTATTTAATATTTTGCTTTTCATATTCATGCTTCCAGTGTGTTTGTATTGCTCAATCTTTAAGTATTCCAGAAGTTGTGTACCAATAACCTTGGTTATGCAACTACCACACGAAGAACTGGGGACTACTTAGCTGGAAGCTTAGCAATCTTGAACATGAACACCTTTAGGTAACTTTGGTGAATAAAATCTTTGCCTCTGAATAAGGATATTTCTCCCAGTTAGGGGTAATTAGCAGTGTAAGATATTAAGTTGCTGATCAAATCTTTATTATTTTAGTCTATAAAAAATTGGAATAAAGAACTTGCTATGAATGATTTTTCATCCAGCTGTAACTAAAATGAAAAGTTTCTTGTTTTCTTTATGCCAGAAATAACAATGATCATTTGTTTTTAGGCACCTGTGCGAAACCCGGAGCAGTTTAAAGCTCTGGGCCTGACTACTCCAGCTGGTGTCCTGCTTGCAGGGCCTCCAGGGTGTGGCAAAACACTGTTAGCTAAGGTAATGCATTTTCTAAACATCATTAAAAACACTGGAGAATCCTCTTGAAATGGATGTTTTTGTAGGATGAGTCTGAATCATAGTGCAGGAAGTTGGCCTTTTGCACCACCTTTCATCAGAAATCTAAATTTAGGCCTTTGTGCTGAAGCGATTTGATTTTTCTTGCATAAAATTATAACTTTGCTTGAATGGATAGGGAATTCCTGCAAAACCTGAAGGAATGAGCTTGATTAAGGAAGAAGTAGCAAAGACGAGAAGAAACTCTGGAATATTTTACTATAACTAAATTATGTATTTGGGAGTACTCTGCAGCTCTTACTGACAATAGTTCTTTCTGTTGTGCTTCTTGAGCATTTCAGTTCTTGCCACATCTCTATGTAAATGCAGATACTCATGCAAATTTCAGATAGTTTCTCATTCAGGTGCTCTTAGGGAGTTGAATATATCTTTAAGTCCCATAGTTACTGGACATTCTGCAGCTGGGGTGGGGGGTGGGGTGTGCATCTGGAGCTGCCTCATCAGGGAGAGAGAATACATTGCTAAATTCCCCACTCCCCTCCCACTCTTAATTGCGTATAATTATACTTTGTACTGTTTTCTATATTTTGCAAACAGTTGCTAGCTGTATGTTCCTCCCTTTATATTTGTTTATTACTCCATGGACAGAACCCAAGCAGACATGATAAATGTGTGTTTTATATATATCTTAATCTATCTGTCTTTGCCTTTTTTACAGGCCGTGGCAAACGAGTCTGGACTGAACTTCATATCTGTGAAAGGTCCTGAGCTGCTAAATATGGTATGTGCTAATCATGGGGCTTTTGTTATTTATGGAATTCTTGTCCAAAATGTGGGGCAAGCAAAATTCCTGATAATTACACAACTGGTACTGGTGCAGCTGGAATTGCCTTATTTAACCTGTCCTTAAAGTTTTTAGCAGTGACGTTGTTCATGTGAAAAGAAAAAAATCACCTATGTAGCTTAAATATTTATCTTAGTTTAAATTGCATGGCAGGTAACCCTTCTTTACTTGAAGTAGGGTTTCTTCTACATAGGACCAGCTACATACATCACTGCTTTTCTGTAGCATGGAGATTTTAAATGTCAACAGATTAAAGTGCTGTAGTTCAAATTTTCAAAGCACTGGACTTAGAAGTGCTGTGATGTAACTTCAGTCACTTTCAGAGTCAAGAGAATGTGTTGAGCTGAGCAAGGTGGCTGCAGCTCCCATGTAGTAGGGCCATTATCAGTAATGTGGAAGCTGAAACCCACATACTGGATTCGATTGATGTCTTGCCAAACATTTTTTTATATGTCTACTTCAAGTACTGATACAGACAGGAAATAGAACACTTAAGTTAATGAGGAGCCCAACTTCCTTGTGAAATACAGAGAAAATGGTTGGCTGTGGTTCAGAGACTGTGTTAACATATAAATTGTATCAAAACATATTTGTTTGGAAAAAATTAAGTGTTTGCATTTACAACTTCACAGCCCCTGTTCCTACAATTCAACATTCAAAGTGAAATTCTGGCTGACTTTTCAGTTCCCTACCACCAAGCCTGTCTTCAGGCAACAACTCTATGAACTTCAGATGTTCATTGTGTTCACATTGCTAACTGGGTTTGTTTATGAACAGCTGAACAACAGGGTCCTTAATTAAGACTGTATTTGTTAATTCTCATCACCAAAATGATGGCAAGTTAGAGTTCTTGTCCAGAAAAAAGGAATTCTGTTAAACTCTGAATGTACTGCAAATTGTCAAAAGTCAACTAGTGACGGTTCCCGTGTAAATCATGATCAGTAAGAAAACAGAGATAAGAGACTTGTCTGAAAAAAAAACAGATTACTGGGTTGCATTTCTCCCTTGCAAAGTACCTTAAATAGTGTTTAAAACCACTGATTTTTTTTCCAAGCAAAACCTTTGTGTCTTACCTTGTTTCGGTGCTGTGTCTCGTATTGTTTCAGTACGTGGGTGAAAGTGAGCGTGCTGTCCGTCAGGTGTTCCAGCGTGCCAGGAATTCGGCCCCCTGTGTTATATTCTTCGATGAAGTTGATGCTTTGTGCCCTCGGAGGTCTGACCGTGAAGTGAGTTTGCCTTGGGATATCTCCACAAATCAATACTCTCAGTTATAGCTTTTGGGATATTGCAGGCAACAGAATTTCCCAGAAGGATATCTCCCAAGAAAAGCAATCTACTAAACTTTTATTTGAGGGAAATATGTTGGTCAAGTTTTATAAAGCTTAATACTTTTTTTCATAGGCATATATAAAAAAATATCCAGAGAAATTCAGGTTAAGTTACTAAGTTTGGTTATAGGATGTCAGTACTATGGAATTACTATTTACCTCTCAGTAGCTCACCTGCTTAAAATTTTGTTTCAGAGGTTTCAATATTTAAGAACTCTTTTCCCTCAAAAAACTGAATATTGAGAAATTTTGTGTCTTGTTGAGGTAGATATCAGAGCAGCTAGTACCAATATTTGTATGTACTCCTTCAAGTGAGTCCTTTAGTTTTGATGGGCAAGAAAAGGTTTGCCACGTGTAAAAATATTTGGGAAGTGTGTAGATAGCATGAATTTGGGATGGAGATGTACTAAGAGTATGAGAGAAGGAATCAGCAATGCAGCTACATTGAAAGCATGCAAAAGAAATCTTTTCTTTGAGTAGTATTTCAGTGCAGGGAGTTAATAGGTCTTTTGTTTCTTTTACCTTGAAATATTCACGTTCCCAGTGTTCCTTTGATTTTGTTGACAAATTTCTCCTTCCAAAGTCAGGAGCCAGTGTGCGGGTAGTGAACCAGCTCCTCACCGAGATGGACGGGCTGGAGAATCGGCAGCAGGTTTTCATTATGGCTGCCACAAACAGGCCAGGTAAGGACCCAGCAGTCAGAAACAAGAAATCAGACATCCTTTGTTCTCCTTTAACAAAGTCATGTGTTCCTAAATATTTGAATTCTGTAACTAAGCCTGTTCGCTACTTAAAATTACAGTGTCTGCTCAAATCAAAAGCTTTTCTGATCAGTTAATCTGTTCCATGTTCATGTGGTATTGTGAGATAAAGCAATCTCTTTAAAATGTGTCTCACTTAGCACCTGGTATCATTGCTGTTAAAATGCTTTGAAAGAGCTTTGACTGGCTGTGGATTATCTCCTTGCAATATAGAAGCAGAAAAGAGACCTAAAATGTATTTTTTTTTCTGCTTAAATTGATTTTCTATCCAAAGCAGCCTTATAGTTTTCTGCTATCTTTTCTTTTTTTTTTTGCCTTAAGACATCTGTCTCATGTTAAGTCATTTTTCCATTTGCTTATCTTTTGCTTCCTGGGCTCTATATTCCACACTAGACTCTGTTTGCAGTGGTTACTCTTCTGTTTCTTCATGTTCTATCCAGCTTGGGTATTAACAGCTGTCTTTGCTCCCTTGCTGGTTCTTCAGCTTTTGGCAGCTCTTGCAATTCCCACAGCACCTTCTCAGTTAATAAGCTAAACACTGCTTTACAAACATCATGTGTTTTACAGGCAACTTTCTATCTCTGTTTTGTTTTGTATTATGGACAAGCCTTGTGTTTTATACATAGCAACACACTTGTCTTTCCTGAATTTGAATTCCATGTAGAAGCTGTGTGTTGTAGATAATGGAATTTGTTATCAGTTTAGGAGTAAACAAGTGTGAAGGTATTGCACTTCGTCAGCTATGATTATTTTTCTGAATATTGCAAGTGAAATTAAATACAGGGGTACAAGTCTGTCTTGGTAAAACCTTACTGGTGTAGGTACCGGAATTCTGGGAAGAACGTTTGCACCTAGAACAGGTATTTGGCAAATTCCTACTTACAGTGAGACAGTTATTTCTTACCTGCATGTATTAAGTAAGGACAAGATGTAGTTTTGCTGAGAAATGGCTTAACAGGAAACATAGTAGCATGGCTATTTGGATATAATTTGGAAGATGGGAAAGTTAAAATACTTTATATTGGTTGTGTTCTATAAATTAAGAAAAATTGCCTATCTATGATAGGCAACTGTTAGGTGGGGTTTTTTTTATCAGTGGCCAAAAGCTTCAGAGTTTGGAGGAACATCTTCCTATGTCTCAAATTCTTTGCACCATCACAGACTTTCAAGCCTTCCACATGGTGCAGTATGAGCAGTAGGTTCTTAAATCTTTACCTGCTTGTACAAATTCTTTGACTTAAAGTGGCAGGTTTTCATGGCATGAGCTTGCTAATGCAATGCAGAATAGAAAATAAGTTTATGCTGTATATAGATGCAGTTGGATGTACCAACAGTGTTGGTGGGAGTGTCATCAAGTTGCCCTAGCAAAGAGATCTGTCCCTAAATTAGTTGTGCTATTGCAAGTATTTGTATCAAGCAGCCCTATTTGGAAGTGTTTCTCAGTAATTCATGTCTAATTACTGACTTGTCATTATCTCTGACTGGTAGCTTGGGCTGGCAATTCCAGCACTTTTGAAGGGAGGACGCATCCAGCTGTACTTCCTGCAGTGCCTCCTCAGCTGGTTGGGCAGGAGGCCGATCCTTTTTTGGCTGCTCTGTGTCACTGGTCTGAGCTAAAGATTCCTCCCGTGGAGGCAGCTGAGTGCAAGCATTCCAGCAGCTTCACCAGGGCCATCTTAGGGTAAATATTGTTCAGATGTTAATTTCAAAATATAAATATTTATGTGTGCCAGGTTTGTCCTAATTCCTTCGTTTAGATATACACTGATTCTGTGCTTAATTACAGGTCTGATTTTCATTCATATGTGAAACAGACACCCGTTCAATTGTTAATTCCCCTCTCTATAAGGCTTTTCTTAATTCCCCTCTCTATAAGCCTTATATGAGGTGCATTTTTACCTTTATGTGGTTAGAAAGTACCTCTGGAATGACTTGGGGATGTTTGGGGTTTTTTTCCCTTCAGTTTTAAAAAGCCACTATTGCCTTTTTCAGCTGCAGTGGCAGATCTACTGTTTGACCATACAGGAACAGTTAAAATTACAAAACTTTACTGAATAATGAAGTTTGGGCTTATATTTGAGGGCTGCTGGGAAATGTGTAAGGCATTAAATCAGCAGTGTATTATTAGTCAGTGACATTGGTGAAAAAAGGGGATTTGAGGTAAAAATGACAAATGTAAAGAAAATGCAAAGGCAGGGATATCAAATACAATTAATTTCTATTTATTGAATTTGTAGATGAATTTATATCCTTCACTTTGGTGATTGTATCTTGATAAAGATACAAGGAGTTCTTTTGCCAACATTAAAAAATTATTTTTTTCAGCTGGAAGGTGCCACTTGGATAGGATGGATGTCTTGCTTCAGAAGGACTGTGTATATGAATAACGCTTTGGGAAGGCTTAGACCATAAGTTTTTCCTTGCATTTGTCAGTATGAGGAAATAAAATTTCATCAGAACAATTTCTGCTGAAGTTGTGGTTAAGTTGGGGAAACTGATCTTTCTCTCCTGTAGTTTATTCACTGTTCATGGGGCCTAGGAGGAGGCAGTGTTCACCAAATGAAGTTTTGCTGGTGTGGTCTGGGTAGCTGAAAGGAGCACACCGCAGGTAGAGAGCAGTGAAGTCTGTGCTAGTAAAGCATACTCTTAACCACCTTAAGAATGCAAAGTCCAAGCAGCAACCTGTTGGACAGGCATAGCTTAGACTGGCTACTATATTGAAGTACTTCCCCAAACAATTAAGTTGTGGTGCCTGAAAAGGTTTTTAAATCTTTGTAAGAAAGATTTTTCTATCATAGTTGTGGTGAGTAGAGGTGCTGCTGGGGAGGGGAGTTGTGTAATATAAATCTAAATAATATATGTGTCCCAGCAGGACTTCTGCAGTCTTCCACTGAGCCAGTGCTGTAAAGTGTGAGATCTCATGGTTTTTAATCCATATTAGTATAATTTATTGGGAGTGAAAATGGCTTTTCAAGGTGCTTCTTTTTTAGAGTGATTGCATACATGGTAGCTTTGAGAGTTGGTTGCTGGTACTGTTCATGACTGTTGTGTTTGCTGTCAGCATTGTAACCTGAAGTTATTGTGCAATAGAAAGAGTCTTCTCACATAAGTTATTATTACTATTGTTATTATATTGTTATTGCTATTACTGTTATTGTTGTTATTATTTAGGAGTAGTTGCAGTTAGGATAGCAGTGGCTCAACCACTTTTGGCATCTTGAGGTATGTTCCTGGCACAGTTGTTTCAGAGAGGTGTTGGCACCTGGGACAAAGTATTACTGTGAAATGGTGGTGGTTTATACCCCATGGCTGAAAACCACCAGATTATCTTTTATATAGCCTTTAAACACTTGGAAGGCTTTAACTCCCATTTTGGCAAAAGGGTAGGCACTATAGATTGGTTCCTTTTTTTATCATCTGCAATCTTCAAGTGGTAATTCTTATTCTGCCAGTGCTGAAAAAAGCCTTTGATGTGCCCTAAAAAGCAGGATATTTGAATGTTTTTTGCACTCAATGACTTTGAATATCCTCTGCAGATATTTCTCCAGATATCATTAGAGAGAGAGGGAAAAAAAAACAGAGGCAGAAATGTCTTGTCTTGTTAGCACCTTTATGAGTCAGAATAATTAAATTATTTTCCAGCCTACTTCCTTGCCCAAATTCAAGAGTAAATACCACACTACTGCCAAACACTGCTGTTGAATTGAATCTGTAATTTCCCATCACTTTCTAGCTACCAGTTTGAATTTCAGGAGGGGATACTGCTGCTTTCTGCTCTTCTCTTACTTCCCTGGGCTTTGAACATTTATAAACTTAGATAAATGCTGACCAAGGCATCAGCAGCATTTCCCCTGGGATCTAGGGAACTGCCTCATGTGAGGAAACAGACAAGACAGTGATTTTAAACTGGTCATGAATTGTGGTGATGTCTTGCTTTTCATGCTTTTCATTTATGGCCTCTTTCTCTACTTTCTTAAATTAATTCTTGCAAAATTCCTCTTCTGCTGTTACTTTTGAGCACAATCCTAGTTTTAGTGAGTTCTATTTTTGTTGGCAAGTTTATTTTCATTTTTTTAGAGCTATTCACCTGAACCACATGTTTTGAAATACAATAAAACAAATAATCACCAGTACTTAACAATAGTTGCAGTTTGGGTTTGGGCATTGTTTATGTTTTTACCTGTTTATACATGTTGCTGAATTAAAAGCAAGATAAGATCTAAGAAAAGCACTTCATACGTAAGGCATGGAACAATTTCTTTAATAATAGTTCTAATTCACACAAATTATATTTCTGCATTTCAGCAGCCCTTGAGTATTGTGAATCTTTCACAGGAACTTCAGTTAAGTGCAGCATTCACCTGGAATCTCAGAACTTTTAGGGCTTCTGAGCCTGCATTTCAGAACATCACAAATGGGAGGGCCTAGATCCTGTGTATCCAAATATATTTTTAAAAGCTGGAGTGAGAGCATGGGGGAAGTTTGAGGGACTCACACAACAGCTGTCATTGCTAGTATGCACTGAATGTGCTTGGCTCCTGTACAGTTGAGATAAAACATAAATAATCAACTAGAAATGAATGTGGGACTAAGAGATTCTACTATAGAACAATAGAATGTCACTGTATAGGAATTCATGCACAGATATTTTAAATGGAATGTAATCATTCTGTAAGAATTTGCAGTAGTTTGAAGAGCAGTGTAGCAAACTGAAATGTGACTTCATTCTCTACAGGTTAGTAACTGTTTGAACCCTCAATAACAGAGCAAGGAATGGATGTACTGTAAATACCTTCTCATGTAATTTTGTCAGATTATTTGGAAAATTATACTACTGTCTTCTAATGACAGTCAACACCATTGACCACCTCAGAAAGGCAGGAAATTATTAACATTTACTCCAGTAGAAATATATTCTGTCTGTGAGACAGCTGCTTGGAAAAGGGGTGCTGTGTTTCATCACATTTCCATGCTTCACTTTCCTTCCAACTTGAGGGATAATAATAGGCTTTGAAAGAGGTATCTGCAATAACTACCTTAATTTCATTAAAATGATAAATGTATCTAAAATGAGTTGACTCTCTTCTGTTTAGATAAGTTTTAAGATAATAGATATTGAGAGTGTGTTCTGATTTACCAGGGTGGAATGCTTTGAAATCCCTTAAAGGGGTACCTTGTTCAGTTCTTTTAAATGGATATAAAGTGCATCTAATGAGTGAGTCTGTCCAATGAGTAAAGACTAATTTTCTGCGTTAGGAGACTTGAGTTTTCAAGAAATTTAGGCCCAGGTCTGAACCAGAAGAATGAAATTAGTTGATTCATAAGGAGATGAGGAGTCTGGGCTTCAGGCTTTGGTGTGGTCTTGTTGCTGTAAACTACCATTACTGCAGCTTATCTAGTTCTGTCAGTTGTTGTAGTTTTTTGAATGCAGGCAGTCTGATAATTTCCATACAAAAAGATAAATGCAACTTCAGACCACATTGCTGTCTTCACATTGTTGGACAAATAGCAAGTACCATCTTGTCAGTATGCAAAGTGGAAATAGTATTTTCCATAGCAAGCTTAGTATTTTCAAATATTATTTAATACTTTATTTTTGGAATGTTAGAATGGGGAAATCAGCAAGTGCCTGGTGTCGTAATTTGGGCCCTCTTGAGAGTATTTGTTTTGGTGTTTGTAACAGATCCTTTGAGTGAACTTTGTCATCTACTAATAATGTGACAAGAAACACAAAAACAGGAAAGTACACTTGTCAAAAGGAAGACAAAATGTCATCTGTAACAATGCACAGATTTATAAGTAACATTTTTTTTCTGTGCCTGCCATGGCAGGATTCTGTTTAACCCTTGTTTCATCTGGTCTGGATTAAATTAATACAAGTAATTCCTTTTTTTTTTTCCTCACCATTCTCATCACTTTAGCATCTGCATTTTTCTTTCATATATGTTTCTGCCCATGACTGCTGTATTCTAGGGGGAGGAAAAAGCTTTTGTCCAAGTAAAAGATGACAGAGTTGTCCTTTAAGCATAATTGAGAGAGCAACTTGAACAATACCATGAACGTCTTTAAAAAATGGATCGAGACCATACTGTGGTAGGATCAGGTAGTTCAAATGTTGACAGAATTAAGCAAACTTTTTTAATTTGCAAAAAAGCGAGTTTAACTTCCCTGTTGTTGTTTTAGGGCTTGGGTGGTGTCTGTTGTCTTTAAAACATCTGTACAGTAAAGATCAGCAGCTTCACTTCCTCCAGTCCTTCACCTTTAATATACAGGAATGCAGTAGTTTGTCTGTGAGCTCTGTTTTGTCAGGGAGGCAGAGCCAATGCAGGGTGTTGGCAGCTTCATTGGGAGGCCTTGATAATTTCCAGCTTTAGACTTAGATGGAGCTATCAACTGTCACTTTTGCAGTAGCTACCTCACACATTCATATAATTTACATACTTTAAAATAGTCTGTTCTAGTAAAAAAGTATAGATTTTTTGTATCTTCTGTGAGTATTTCTGTGACTTTGCTGCTCACGTTACTGTGGCATGTACGATATCAGAGTCACAGAATCATTTAGGTTAGAAAAGTCCTCAAAGATCATGGAGTCCACCTGTTAACCCAGCACTGCCAAGTCCACCACTTAACTATGTCCCCAAGTGCCACATCTACAGGTCTTTTTAATACCTCCAGCGATGGTGACTCCATAGAATTCCTTAGTGAAACACAGCGATTAATACCATTATTGGGTTTTGGCAGATGGGGAAATAGGGCATCAAGAAGCATTGAGAAGCGTCAGGCAGGCAGTTTGTGCTGAAATACAGACAGGAATTGAGTCCTTTTCCAGGTTATATGCCATGTCTGTAGCCCTTGTTATACCAATAGTCAGTATTTATATCCTGACGGACTTTGTGTACATTTGGTATCACAGCCTGTGGTGCTAAAAGGCAGCTACACATTTCTGTTGCACTTAACTTTGAATGGTTTTCTAGAAAAATTTATGATAATGTTTGGTTTCTTACTTCTCCACACATAATAAATTTGGAGTCTGTAGTGCTCCTTGGGAAACAAATTCTGTACTTTGCAGCTATCTTTGGTATTTTCCTGGGTTTGTGGTAGAAATGCAAATGACCATTAATTCAGTTTGCATATGGATGGTTGTGATTGACCCTGTGTGCTTGTTTTGCTTGACTTATCATTGTCCCTTTGGGTAGAGTTCCTTCCAGTAGAAGGAACTGCTAATAATTAATGTGGAATTCCTCAGCAAAAATGTTCTAATTCTGTATTGCCAAATAGATTTGTCTTCTTATCTGAAGAGATGAACCTAGTATTTATGAGCCATCATTGATCAGATGTGGCTTAATTGTATTGAGTGTTAGAGACTGACAAAAATGAAACTTTTTAAATCAGCTCCTTTAATTGCTCAGAGCTTCAGTCATGGCACAAATGCTTCTTTGAGTCTTGGTACAAATATGCATGTATTCCTTCTCATGTGCAGATGTTCCCAAGGGTGTATCTCATTTCTGGATTCATTATTTTCTATTTTTCCTCTCCCTAAGATATAATTGACCCAGCTATCCTGCGTCCTGGTAGGCTGGATAAAACACTCTATGTGGGTTTGCCTCCACCTGAAGATCGACTTGCTATTTTAAAGACCATCACCAAAGTGAGTATTTGGAACTATATCCTTAATCTTGAAGCTTGGTGGAATGATGTTAGACAAATTAAACATTACAAAGAATTGCAGAATCCTGTCTCATTAAACACTTTCAGCTTTTCCATGAGGTAATAAAAATAATCCCTCAGCCCATCTGCTGTTAAATTTGCTCTGGGACTGCAAGGGGCTGATGAATGTTGAGTAAAGCAAACCTGTTAAACGTGGAAGTTGCTGACCTTATAGTCACAGTTTGAACAGATTTAATTAAAGATTCTTATCTGAGTGAGTAATGGGCCTAGAAGTGTTTTGTAAGCTTTTTTGGGGGGTTCCAGACATTCAGCAGAATGATTCACAAGCTCCATCTGTATTTGCTCAACAGTAGTTGTGACACCTAATTCGCTTTAGGATTAAAAGAAGCTTGTGATGATTGAGGTTGTATGTTCAAGTAAATGTGGAAATGTACAATCTGTGCCTTCGTGGGTCCTCCCTGTGGTGGACAGCACAATCTGCCACTTCAGGGACTTGGACTACAGAATTCTGTGAGTGTTTCTCCAATTATGGCACAGCAAGAGTCAAGGCCTTATAAAAGAACATAAAAAGCATTATGAATTACGTGGATATTTCCTTCTTTTTTCCAGTAGAATAACATTGATTGTTATGACCAGGTATTCTATCAGATCTTTCTTTTAGCTGCAAAGGAGACAAAGTCTTTTCTATAGAGGAAAGATAACATTATGAGAAGTCTGGCAAAAATTGTGTAGTGTATCTGTAATAAAGGATAATTCCGACTTGCATAACCTTGAAGTTGTGGTGTATAGACAATAGTTGATTCAGAATTCAGAAAGTGAGGACTTGTTCCAGCCTGTTCTTTCATGCCAAAATGGATGTTCATAGGGTGATCTCTCATTAGAAATTCAGGATGTTAGACTTTCCTTCATTTTTTCTGTGCATTACTTCGTGGTTGAAAATAGATTAAGTGTTCCCCCATTTGATATTTGCAGTAGACCATTTTGTTGTTTCTAAGTTTTACAGAAATACTTCAGTTAATACTTTTTACAACCCTGTTCTTAATGTTCTTCATGAGATGTTGAGAGAAATTGAGTGTAACATCCATGAATACTGTAAGGAATCATGATTTTTATTTTAGCAGATATATTTTTAAAGGTAATTAGGGGTGTAGGGGAACAGTGTAGCAGAGCTTGGTGCTTTGCTTCCTTCACTGGAGCAAAGGTGGATTAAACAGAGCTGATTTCTCTCATTCTCACTGGTTTCCCTTGCTCAGACTCTCACAGCCACATGTAGCCACCAAGATATACGAACCCACCTGGCAAGGGCAGGATCACTCATGGGCAACACTGAGGACAAGGAACTGTAGTGAGTCCTCACTTCACCTTTTGGCTTCTTCGTGTCTGTCAATGACCAGCTGGTTGTTAGGGAGAACTGTTTGCAGTTTCCCATCAGGAATCAAGTTCAGAATTGCATTTACTGCCATAAATCCTGGGCGAGGTCACTGAAATGCTCCCTTCTCCTGGGAATCTTTGTGCCTGCCTACAATCCTATCTTCCTGTTGGGATAACACCAAGAGGAGTGGCAATGGGATGTGGTAACCCTGTTATTATCCCACTGCCAGAACATTTTTGTCTTCTGCTGACATCAGCTTTGATGTGACCCTATCTGCCTATGGGAGTTCTTGACAGCAAGAACACATTGCACAGTGTTTATCAGCTTGGTTTCTGTGGATCCTGTCGCTGGTTATCATGTTGTTTATCATGCTTTTTGTATGCAAGATGCTTTCATGGATGCTTAATTCACACTAGTCTGATTATTTTGATTACAAATCCTTGTGGTGAATGAAGAGTTAAATCTTTAAAGATGTGCAGGAGCTGTGTGAACGAAGGACATGGAGTAGGAAGAGAGGAAAATGTGTTAAATGAATTGAAAAACTTTATTGTCACAATTCATCCATGCATTCTAGGTGAGGAAATGTGAAAATTTGAGAACATATTTGCTCAAGGCCAGAGAAAACAAAATGTTTGGTGCAGATGTCAGTGGCTTCTGAATGATGGTATGCATTCCCAGGAATCTCCAAGGAATACATGCACAGCATGTGGAAGCAGAATCCTTGCTGAATAAAAACACAGACGCTTAGAAATGCACCCATGAGGGGTGGAAAAAGGACCTGGGGGAGGAACAGGTTGTCAGGAAGACAGACAGTCTAAATGTGGGTTGAAGCTTTGTTGTGAAAGACTTTTATTTCAGTTAACTTGTACAAATCAGTCATTCCCAATTATGCACATTATGCAAGAGAAGCCTGTCTTCACATGTTTCAGTTACTTTTATACTTAAACATTCCTGGAAGCTGCATCAAGCTCCTCTGCTGCACAGGGCTTGGCACCAGAGCAGGGAGAGCAAAAATGCCCAGTGTATTTGCTGCACAAAGCAATAGGTTAAACATTTCTTTTTAGCAGAGGAGGTGCCTCTCTGGCTTGCAATTTTCTATAAGAATTACTAAATTATCCCATATGAAATTGTATGAAGCTTCCTTGTTTACAGGTCGAAGTCTCTCAGGATGTTTTCAAATCAGGCTGCTCCTTTATCTTTTTGTTGTGGTGCTGTTCTGGATTTTTCTCCCTTTCTAACTGTTAAAGATTCATTCAGGATTGTTTCCTTACTCTGCCTAGTCCTTGACAGTTCCACTGTCTATTAAGTATTCAAATATTTTAACTTGCCAGGTACTATACATTTTATTTTTTTCTCTTGAAGGTATTGTAGATATGCAGTATATGAGTTCCTCTGAAGGAGTCAGAAAGTATTTATTTGAATTTGTACATTTCTGTCAAATGAGTATCTGGCAGAAATGTATCATTATATCATAAAAGTGTTCTTTCCTGTCAAAACTCAGATATTGTTTGATCAAAGAGACATCTTGAATCTCTGTACTATCATGATAATAGTTTACTGTTGTCTCAGGGTAACAGGAGGATCTCCAAGCTTACAGTGTTTGGAAATTTTGTTGGCTAGTTTCAAATACCATTTATGTCATTTAAGACTTTTGCTGTTGGAGATGCAAAAATAGTAACAAAAGAAACCACTTCTAGAATCTTTCTGGCAAAAGCAGTAATAATATGGAAAAGTAGTGTCAAAAATCTAGTTTATCTAAACTCCTATGAAATCTAAATAGAAAACTTCTCTAAATTTGAAAATTTATATCCAGAATATAAAAGATAGACAATTAATTTAGTCTTAAAGGTGATAAGACTAAACTGGCTTGCCTATTACTTAGCTGTTTGATTTCAACACACAGTAACACCAGAGGAAGTTCAGCTAAACAAGCTGCTGAAGCAACCAACTATTATTAAAAATAAGCCCACATATGGAATAGTGTAGGTGTTACAATGCCCTGGGGCAGGCTGGCCATCATTTCCTTAGAGAAAATCTAATCTGTGGGTAGCACGTTAAAATTTACCATTGCTTAACATTTTCTAATTAAATGGTTTTAAGGCTGATTATCCTTCTTGCCAGTTTGAGATTAAAAATATTTATATTTGTTGACATTGCAGGAAAGTTGTCAGGCCCCTATATGATTCCTGATTAAAGAAACTTCATCACTTCAGGGATGGCAGATGTTATAAAAGTATGTTTTCTTACCTTCTCTTTTTCCTTACCTCAACTCCTGTAGGATGGCACCCGGCCTCCCCTAGATAGTGATGTGAGCCTGGAGGACATTGCTTACAGTCAGCACTGTGATTGCTACACGTGAGTATCTTCTGGTTTTGACTTTCATACTTCATGTGCAGTGCCAGCAGTCTTTGATGCATGATCAGCTGTGTTTTGCTGCTATTATTAAGAGGGTTTCTTAACTTGATACACCTTTTCCCTTAGGGTATTTTTTTGCTTCCCCTCGTGCTTTTTTCCAAGAAGTTGATAGGATATATGGATGCTAAAGTCGTCTTCATTTGGAATAGTCCTTACATTGCAAATACAGAACAGTGGAGGCATGTTCGTTTTCTTTGGTTTTATTTTATAATTCTTGCATCATCTGAGGAACAAAGAGCCCTCTTTAAGTTGTGAGTCCATACACAAAGGTGATGAAAGCAAATTGGCTAAACAGCCATAACCAACTTGTTCTGTCACAGAGTTGAGAGCCATCTGTTTGATGAAGTAATAAAGGCCCATTTCAGCTTGTGCTTTGGGAATAGCAATGTGTGGCTTCAGGAAAAGCTTGATGACCATAATCTTCAGAATAATTTGCAGTTATGGTCCATAAAACTTAAAAACCTTTAAGCTAGTTAATAATTTAGTAATACTCCATGTTTTTATGGAGTTCATGAAAGATAAAGTTTATGACAGGCTGCTTGCCTCAATATTACTTGGGAAAGAGTTCTTTCATTCTTTCTACACCTTTCTACACCTTTCACTCACTGCTTTATAGTCCAGTGGTTTTTTTGTTCAGTGTGCAGGGGTTTTGGTTTGGTATGTTGTTGTGGGGTATTTGTGGGGGTTTTTTTTTGAGATTTTGTTGTTTGGTTGTGGGTTTTTTGATGCTTGTGTTTATCTGTATTTTGAGTTCGGGGGTTTTGTGTGTGTTTGGGTTTTGATGTCTTTGGTCTTGGTTTATTTGGGGTTTTTGTTTTACCTGGTTGGGGTTTTGATTTTTAAGTACTTTATGCCTAGTACCCCCAAATGAAGCATGGGGAGTTGATTTTGAATTTTTTTTTTTTTTTATTCAATGACTTTCACCAGCTAAAAGACATGTGAAAAGTTCCAGCTGTTCTAGTTCCAGGAAACTGGAAAGAAATTCTTAAACTGGTCTGACCATGTTTTGTGGATACTATTATTTTAAGAGCATGTTAACTTTACTATTGATGCAGCTTTGAGCAACTCTTTTTTGTAATGGTGAGGGATTTTATTTGTATCTTTCATAAAATTTATAAAAAAAGAAGTTAGGTTCCCAAGAAGTGGCACAGTATTAATCAACCCTTTGGCATTTTCAAAACTGCTGAATGGGAGTTTTGCCTCTTCCCTTGTTTCTCATTAATTTGATCTTAATTTGTGGCTAAAATCTGAAGGGCATTACTCTGTAATGAAAGCTGCAGACTGCATAATCATCAGGCCTCTTCCCAGTGTTCTTAAGATGAAACTTTGTGACAGCACAGCCAAATTTTTATGCCATTTTTACTGTCTTATCTTTCTATATGCCATCAGCATAACCAAAATTTATCCCCAGATAACCTGTTGTTTGTATCCCTAGAGGGGCAGACCTTTCAGCTCTCGTGCGTGAAGCTTCCATTTGTGCCTTGAGACAGGAAATGGCCCTGCAGAATACTCAAGGCAAGAAGGGTAAGAAAGATTTAAAAAGAAACTCTTAACTGAAAAGTGCCAAGATAAATGGAATAGAAAGTATTTTACACAGTTGGAGACAAGCATAAGTCTGTGAGAGCTGTACATCATTGGTTGATTGACTTCTGAGCCGTACAAAAATTAAGTCACATAAGGGGAGGTAGGGGAAGGTACAGGAAAAATGGTTATGCTAGAAGTCAGCGTAATTCTTATTTTTAAAGAACTGAAGGTTGCAACCTTAAAGAAAAGTTTCTGTTAAATGGTTATATAAACTGATTATTTTCTAGACTAAATACCCCTTTGCCAATTTTCCCTGTTACTACCAAAGACTAATTATGCTGATGTAATTGGAGGATGGTATTTGGAGGAGGGTTGTAAACTCACATTCCCTGATTTCCTACCTTTGGCACCCAGCTGTGTTGTGTAACTGAACACGTACATCCAGCAGTGATGGAGTTGGGAAAATCTGTGTCACTTTTGATCTTTGGTGCTTAGCTCATCAGTGCCTCTTGCCAACACTTTACCAGGGAGTTACAAATTGATTCAAATACAATCTCTGCCCTTTTATTATCTGTCTGAACTGCTGGTTTAAGTTGTATTTTTGTAGGGATTTTTAAATTATAGATTGAAGCTTTTATATAAAATGCCTGTCTGTTTAGATTTCTTCCCAGTAATTTTGTTTGTTGGTTTATCTTTAAGCCAAAATGCAAAGCTAAAATGGAAGTGTGACTTTTCAGATTATGTCCTTGGAAAATATCATAGGCTTTCCTTATGCCCCTGATTTCTAAGAGCAACACTGGTATTTTAATGGCTTTGAATAATTCTTTTTGATCTAGTACCTATCCAATCTTATCTGGTTTTTAGCAACAGTAAATTACCAGAGCACATTGTTTGTATTCCCTGTTCTGAGGCAACAGGCATGTTCACCTAAAGGAAAAAACCCTGAGCTATAAAAACCTTCCCTGTTGTATGACTTGGTTACCCATTTTGCTTGTTGTAGCTGGCTAAAACTCTTGATTTGAGGTAGATATTTCTGAATTCATCCTGGTCATTTTTATAATTGTTCAGAATACAGCAGACTTTATTCAAAGCTGTTCATCTCTTGAATTCAGCCTTCACAGTTAGGATTGCAGCCTAAGCACTGACTGTGTGAATGTGTAGGCAGCCAGCAAGTCCATAATATATGTACAGCTTGATTTGCATGTTTATAGCAGCTGCTTGCTTGTCTGTCCTTGGGTTGGCAAGATGTCAGCCCTGATTGCTATGAAAACATGTGAGTTGGTTTCTTATCTGAGACCCTCTTCATTTTTATCTTCAAGATAAGACTGGGGATTTTCTTCCTTTATTGTTGAAGACATGCACAGCTGCCTGCCCTCCCACGCTCTGCTTGGCTGTGCATGGGTGCCGGTGTCCTTTGAGTCTGGGCTGCTCCTTTCTATTCTTGTGAAACTGTTGCAACTTCTTGTTATACCTGATATTTTCCCTCTGGAATAAAATCAGGGGTGTGGTTTTTTAACGCTTGGCAGTGGTGCTTGAAAGTACTTTTAGAAAGTGAAATGGAAAGGTATCCTTTTTGTGATACTTCATAGGAGAAATCAGAAATTCTACTGCTAATCTGAACAGGCCTAGGCAAGCTGATCATGTTAGTCACTAGAGCTGAGAATTGCCAGATACAAAAGTTTGTAGGGGAAATTCCTAACTGGGCAGATTTGCACTTTTCTGTAGTACCCCTGGATTTCCTTATCATTGGGCCAGCACTGAATGCCCAATGTCACTGTCATTTGCAAACTTGGAGTTTCACTTCTGCCTCCCTTTTCCAAACCACTGAAGATGGTGCATAAAAGTGGCTTCAGCTCCACTGCCAGAGTAGGACCCACCCTACTGCAGCAGCTCTGCAGTTTCTGTCAGAAACTTTTCCTCAGAAACTTTGGAACACCATGTGTTCCTGGTTACTTCTTCCCATTGACTTCTTCCCATTCCCATCTTAACTCACCTGTTTAGCTTAATCCTGTGTATTTATTTCAAACAAGTCTAGTTACACAAAATGTACAGGATATAAGAAATAATAGAAATTTTTATAAGAGAGAGCCAGTGGTCCCCCATCACCTGCAGTCTGTAAGGCTGATCCTAAGCACAGAATCTATGAGGCTTTTTGTTAAAGCAGTTAAGAGCAAATGTGGTTTAACAGGTGAGAATAAAGTTTTGCATCTTTGCAATTGAATTTGAAAAGCAAGATCTAGTCTTTGTTTGATAAGAACCATGTATCCCTCACTCATTTATGTAAATAGGAAAACTCCAATTTCATTTTTAGAGTTTTAAGTACATTGTATTATTTTTAAAAGATTGTACCTGTTGATGGACTTCATTATTTTAATTTAACAATATAAATTGTTTTAAACAATAAAAGTATTTGTACTTACTTTTTCAGACTAACTGGTTTTGTCAGAAATCGAGACAAAGTGTGTTGAAGAAAGTAGCCAAGGTCCAGATTATTCATAGCTACATTTTCTACATGATCAAGCTTTGGACAAGCTTTTATCACATAATAAACATGAAGTAGTCTAACTTACTTGCAGTGAGAGGTCTGCTACCTAGCAGAAGATTTTCTCTCTCCCTGTAGCGTTGTTGCAGTTTGATTAAAAATTACATGCTTAAAAACAAAAGTGAAAGCAAAATTTAATTCTCATAGCTTTATTTTATTGTTTCATGGAGTTTTAATGACTCAGTCTAAGTTATCTGTCTTCTGGGAAAGTCACAGTTTGAACCTTTGAACCTTTTTCTTACTGTAAATAGCATTTCCTTGGGGAAATACATTAAATTCCTGATATTTTAAACTTGCATCTTCAAAGTTTCTAGGTATAACTTTATGTAGTAATAGGAATGTTGACCATGAGCTCCAGAGAAGTGAGATGAGAGAGCAGTGAGGTTTTATGTTTAGTTCAGTGAAATTTAACCTTCATCTTTACCTTTAACCCAGGTAATAACTATATGCTATTTGCTGTTCTGCTTAATACCTTAGACAATGTATATTTCATTTTTTATTTAGTATCTTCCATTTGCATTTTAGTCTTTTACTATATCAGCAGAAGATTTTTCTTCAACTCAGGCTCAAAATATATGAATGTTAAGAGTTTTTTCATGTTGGCACATCCCATTTCATGTGGCAGAGGTGGAAGTAAAAGCAATAATCAATCTAATGAAAGAGATGAAAATAATGCACCAAACGAAACTACAGTTTGTATTTCTGACATATCTGGTACCTGTGCATAGTGGTAGCTAGTTATTAATCTTTATGTAGTAACATTTTAGGATTTTTAAATCCAGATTAAACAAGGTACTTCATTGTGAGAGTAGAGGAAGCCATGACTTATTTGATGTATGCTTATGTTTTAACATACTAAGAAAACCTGTTCAAAAGGTTATTATTAGGAGTAATTACTGTGGATAGCTGCATTAAGGTCAAAAAGCTAATTTGCATAAACTTAAACATAGGCAGTTGTAGCAGTGAAAGCTTTCATCACTTCTGTGTAATGCCAGGGAACACAATGAAATGAAGCCAATTACTAGAAATTGAGTAGAATTGGAATGATAGCAAAATGTCTTCTAAGTACTTCTTAAATAACAGGGAAGTTTAATATTGACTTTATGTAAAAAAAAAAAAAAAAAAAAAAGCCAGAAGTGGAAGCAGCAGAATTTGAGGGATTCACTTCCAGAAAGGTTATGGAATTCAGTTAGTTAGGTTTCATGAATGCTGCCTTGAAATACATGCAACAGTCGCGTGCTTGTCACTTGTCTGCAATTTTAGTAATTTATTATGTTTTGTTCTTTAAGGAGAAATCAAGATTTCTCATAAACACTTTGAAGAAGCTTTCAGGAAAGTGAAGTCTTCAGTGTCCAAACAGGTAAGGCAATATTCCAGTATGCAAAGCTCATTGCTCCCTTAGGAAGGACACTCTTCTGATGCTGGAGACTGGTGGGAATGGTTAAGGTTGCAGCATCCTTAGATGGATTTCAAACTGACAGTACCTGTTTCTACATTAAACAAATCTGATGTTTGTGTTAAGGTCAGAAATCAAAGCCTCCCTTTTCAGCTGCAGATGATGCACTGTATGTAGATGGCTTACCAAGATACCAAGGTTACTTTTTAGTGCGGTGCCTTGGACTTCATTGACATTTCCAGATTGATTATTAACCTGGCCCTAAGCTCTTATGGCTGCTGAGCTTTCAGTGTAGAAGTCAAGGCCTTTAGAGTGCACCACATCCTGACACAACTTTTCCTCCCCTGTGATGATGACACACAAAGATGCTCAGTCTTTTCTGTTGATGTGCAAGAGATGTAAATTTGAGATGGGATATAAAACACTATTCCTTATCACTGTTTTCATTATTTATATTTGTTAAGGAGGTTTGTTGTAAATGTTTCCTTATGCCCTTTTCCTTTTAATGACTGAAAGGAAAGCTGTTCAGTCATCTTAATTACTATAATTTTGAAGTTAATATATAGGAATTGCTACTATTGCAGAGCCTATGTCTAGGTCTCCATGTGTGGCCAAGAATGTACTGTACTGCAGCCAGAATACATTAATGTATTCACATGTAGAACTAGACAGAAGTTAGTAAACTATTTCCTTTCATTGTTATTGTATTTTGGTGGTCAGTGACCTTTCATAAAATTAAAAGTAAACTTTTGCTCCAAGAACCTTTAAGGATTATGTTGGCTGTTGTTTTCCCTTTGCTAATCACTAAGCAAACAGCCACAAAAATTTAAAACATCTCCTCTAACCTAGCAATGATTGTTAAGTATTAGAACATATTCCTTCTGGTTAACCAAAAATGTTATTCTGCATCTCAAAGGCAGCTTAAATATCCACGTGTCTGAGAGTCCTATATTTCAATTATATTAATCTGAAGACATGTCAGGTATTTTGAAATATCTGTTGCAGTACAAGATACTTACCTCCCATTTCCAGCTGCCAGTTCCTATCTGCTAGGCAAATTCAGTCTGAGAAAAACTACAGACCGTGCTATGATACTGGAAAATTTAAAAAGGCTAAAAAAGCTGCATCTTACTGATCTAGTGCATCTACCTCTTCTATCCCATACACATCTCTGTGTTTGGTTTATTTGGTTGACTCAAGATAAACAGAAAGAATTCTTTTTAAGCTGTGAAGACATCACCTTCTGAAGCCGGGTATTTCAGTGGAAGTACTCTGTTCCTCAAAACTCATTTTGAGTGACCAGCAAAAAGGGTTAAGGAACAGTTAAGTCAGACTAGCAAAGGATGATCTTGTCTGTTCATTGTGCAGAACTAGATGGGGGAGGAAAGTGTCAATTCAGCAGCTCCTGTGGTGAAGAGGGCAGTGCCTTCTCAGTGAAGCTGCCATCTAACCTAGCATGGCAACGAACTGCAATTGCCTGAGGCCTCTAGGAATTGCACACCATTGGTGACTCTCCCTCATTTATGAGCCAAGGTAGTGGGGATTTGCCTTATTTAGGTTTTTGTTTGTAAATATTTTAAAATGCAGCTAGTGACTCACAGAGCTGGTTTGTTTCACTTGCTTAAATAATACACAAAGTCACTTTTAAATATTGCGTATTTTTTTACCACTGTCTGAGGTCCTTTTCCTCTTCTCTTGGCACTGTTAGGATCAAATAATGTATGAAGAACTGCATCGGTCGCTGTGCAGGTGATACATTTGGACAATTCCCAAAAGAGACTCACTCTACACTGGTGAAGAGTTCTGAAGTTCTGTGTCTGTTTTCAAGAAGCAGGCTGGAAAGAAGCTGTACTAAATCCATCCCTCAACTTTTTATACTGCACCTATAAAAAAGGTCATCACAACCTACTGCTCTAAAGCATCCATAATTTAACTGTCTCCAGAATAAAAGATACAATACATGCTTCATTTTTATAACCATTTACATTTTCCAAATGAATTATTTTAGTGTTAAAAAGCTAACACCATTCTGATCTATTTGGTGCCCTGAATCAGAAATCCCTGAGGCACAGGCTAACCCTTGCAAGTGTTTACACTGCTCAAATAGCTGTTTTCAACCATCAGAGAAGATTGCTGTTTTTTCCAGAACAAGAACACTGAAAGAAGCACTGGGCGGACAGAGCTGTGAAAGTAGGCTGGAAAAGTGCTGCCCTGGATGTTATCACACCATTAATCATGCATTTTCCGAGTACACTGACACATTGTGCCAGCACAGGTTCTCCGAGCTGCTAACAGCTTCCTTCCACCTCACAAAATAAACTGCTCACAGATGGCAGGCTGGGAGAGTTATCTGGGAGTGAGTAAAGTTTGGAAATTGGAGAAGTGCTACGACACTATGATTCAACCTAAGAAACGTTTGAATTAAGAGGTAACTTAACAAGCTGGTTCTTAATTATTTTTCTTAAACGGATAAATTTTCAAAACTGGGAAGTATCCAAGTTAAGACAAAACACTGAAAAGTGATAGATTATGAAACCTACAAGCCTTCAGGGGAAAAACCCCAATGAAATAGTTTTTGTAAGCAACATTTAATCTGTAAGCATCCCCCCTACTTATTTAAACACCTAAGAGGGAGATAATTTAATCTCCTACTTGAATTCATTTAAATAAATACCCTGAACAACCAGATCTAACTTTAAGACTGACCTTGATAGAGAATAGTACCTTACATCTTAAATTCTTCCAAATCTGCCAGCTAACAAGAAATCTTGCTGCATCTTTTTACCCAAAGATTTTACCACAGACTCGCATTTTAAAAACACTGATGCTCATGGCAGCTTATTCTTACCACTGGGATTTCTGCTCAACATGGGATGACATTCCCTCCTCTCCTAGGGAACCTGGTGCTTCAGTGACTCAAATTCTGAATCATAAGACTGACAAATTAAGTCCCTGGATAAAAAACAGATTATGATGATGTGCCTGCTTTTAATTGTAAATTAGACTTGAAACTTCAGCTGTGATTCCCAGAAATCCAAGATGAAGCATCATCACTTTCAATCAATACTAGGCTTGAAGGAAACCTCAATGAGCATCTGGTTCAACCTTTCTTGGCAAAAAGCAGTCTAGACATGATGGCCCAGCACCCTGCCCAGCTAGATCTTACAAGTGTCTGACACTGGAGAATCCACCACTTCCCTGGGGAGATTTTTCACAATGAGAACAATCAACTAGTAGAATAGTTTTTTCTCATTTCTAATTGGAAGCACCCCTTACCCCTCATCTTTTCCAGGTCACTCTTGTTAAAAGGGAATCTCCCTCCATCTTTTTTGTAACCACCCCTGGAACATGGTGCTAAGTTCTCTCTCTAAGCTTTATTTTCTCAATGCTGCACACAGTCCTCTCAGTCTTAGCTCATAATACTACAAAAGTATAATAATAATGATACACCCAATTCACTTGAGTGGCTGAGTGGACCAATGAAAAGAATAAGTGATTTTTCCTTCATGGATATACAGAGAAGATTCCTGCTACCATACTTGAGGATACCTGCAGATGATGACCTTAAGCAGGAGTGGAGTCCTCAAGTTCTGGCATATCCACCTGAGAATTTTCCTTTCCTTTTATGAGATTCCTGTGTATATATGGAGCAAGAAAGCAAAGTAGGACTTGCAAGGCAAGATAATGGAGGAAATGCTATCAAGGAGTAGTAATAGCACTACAGTCTTATCAAGAGTGCCAGCACAAACCAGGTTTATAATACAAGGTGTCTCATGATTATTCTTCATAACAGGTGATAAGAGGAAGTAGGGTGCAGGAGGGTTTGAATGCACAAGAAAATCTGAAGTTAAGGTGAAAGGCAGAAAAAGCCAGGTCAGTCAAGTGTCCTTATCCTGTCTGCTTACCTTGTCTGGGCTCCATGTGCAGCAAGGAGCAGGCAAGGGTAGGCAGCTGAATTCCATTTGCCTGCTCACACACGAGTGTTGCACCCACACTGCTGCTTGTGGGAAATTCTGCTTAGGCTATAGTATGTATCACTAAAAAAACAATGATCCTTTGTACACAGAAATTGGGAACCGCTTTAAGGAAGGAGCCTTTTCACCCAATAGACACAAATATTTTGTTCTGCATATGCAGCTACCGCCCCTCCTAGCAGACATGCCTCAAGGTTTTGCCTCCAGTCATCTTGTTTCTGTTATGACAAGATCAAGAAATTGTTCGTCATGCCATTCTCCTCTCCCTTCTCCTGAGGCTAACAACATATCAAAACCACAAGAATGAGCCTGTCCCAGAGCACAGCAGATGCTGATGTAAGCATGGATAGGGGGCAGAGGCAGTGCAGAGGACTGTCATTCTTAGCTCCATAGGAAACTTTTCCCACATCTTTATCCTGACTAAAGTCTTATATCCCACTTCAGGTTTGATTATGAAATAGACTTGCTAGAGAAGAGTTGCAGGCTGCTGTGCCAAAGGCAGATCCACATGATTCAGACCCACCTGTTTATCAGATTGTTTTCCTAGGACCTTGCAGAAGCAATGTTGACAGACCCCGAAGTGGCTCCTGTGCCTTGCAATGTGCAAGCTAAACAGCAGAACTTGCTTTGCTGTAAGTCTTTGAGACTTCCAAATTACAGAGGAGGAGTTTCCAAAAGCTGTGCCAAGCTACTTACACAAGGTTGCTGCTTCAAAGTCACTTTCCTCCTCTTAGTCCAACAGGAGTAGAGCAGCCTGCAGTCTGCAGCATTGATGTTAACACCTGGTGAACCTCATCATTAAATAAAGAACAAACAGCTTTAAGCTCTGCTGTGGCATGCCACTGCATCTGACAGAATAAATGTCAGGGAGGCAGAGGTGAGCCACTGACCTCAGCATCTGACAGTGGTCACTTGCCATGAACAGATCCATGTCTCAACACCTGGAGACCTTTGTCTTACATGCTCACTTAGGGAGTTCACCAGAGGCCTTCCAAAACATACAGCTGGAAGTCTCAACTGTTTCAACTGACCTCTGGTTCCAGGGAGGAAGCCCTACCCTGAGTCTGAAACATGGAGCTCTGAAACGAGACACAGATGCACCCATTTAGCACGTTCGTGTTGGAAGCAGACAGGTTCAACAGCAAATCAGGAATGCCAGAGGCAAGGGTTGTTCTGAAAGAGGAGTTATACCCACGCCTGTCCTGTGGGAAAACTAATGCTTAGCACAATCAGATTCCAGGATGCATTACTTACTCCACTTAAGCAGCTCCAGATAATTGAGGGTAGGGAGCATTAAAAGCCATGCAAGGACATTTATTCTGAGTACTACAGGTTATTGTACAAGCCCTGAAGTTTCAGAGCTCTGCACAATTTAACTGCAACTAAAATACTTGGGTGACAGTTAAAATTCCTGACTGACAAACTGAATGGAACAAACCCTAATAAGCATGTAGAAACACCAAAGTTAACTCATTCCATCTGAATAGATTTAGGAAAAAACAACTGGGTTAACTGTCAAGGTTCTTGATGCTCTTTAGGTTTAATTTGTTCTTTACCAGTAAGTTGAAGTTCCCTCCAACTTTCAGATAAAAAGTTTCAAAAATTATACTAACAGCTTTCTGCCAGGTATGTTTTCGTTGTAATAATGAAACCTATTTAAGTCCTTAAAACAATAACTAGATGGTTTATATGTGTTTTTTTTAAAAAGTTAGTGTTTTATATTTCTGTGTCATGCCTTTGCAGTAAACACCATGCCATAAAACTTAAATTCATTGTTCATTTAGAATACATCAAACAAGTTAAGTAGGGCCAGCTGGTCCAAATTATTTTCACCAGTGGTTCAGAAATGCTTATATTTTAGGGATGAAACTATGCTGGTAACTTTTCAAATGATCTGCTTTTGGCAGTTCTTACTACTGAAGTTGGCTGCTAAAGCTTTTTATGTATTACCCAGGAATGCTATGATTAAGGGTAGCTACCAATGCTTGCAAGAATCAGACCATTGTTTAGATCCAAACTTAAATCTCACTGGCTCAGATTAGCCTAATACAGTAAATTGTTCTCCAGCACATAGGCAGCAGCAGATGTTTCAGAAAGATTATGGCAAGCACAGGTATCTCCCTCAGAATTCTCCACCATTCAGTACCTCCTGAAGTGAAAATTATGTATTTATAATTCGAGTTGGAATGGAAAATCATAGTCAGAACACCTTAAAACAACAATTGCAAATTTAAACAAGAAAAGAGGGCAACTTCAGCCCTGCTTAAGAGCAGGAATTCCATGAAGTAGGTAACTAAGACTAACTACAAAATTTTTACTCAGAACTCTGCTTGTCTTAAAGATTAATGTAGGATAACTGAACTTCGTAACTTTAGCTCTTAGCCATAAAACTTTGTAGACACTTTCCATCCTTCATCCAGATATGAATAAATCATCAACATCAAAGATAATTAAAAAAAACAAAGTGATATTAAGTGGCTTAAAAAGAAATTTGAAAGGTTTGCAACTTCTTAAGCCTTTACAAGTATTTCAACCCAAGTTTTCCTCTGCATAGGGAGGAAAGAATTATTCTTTACAGGTCATCTGTATCACCACTCAATAGGAAAGGTCTCAAATCTGCTTTAGAAATACCAAATTTCTCTAAAGCTTAAGTCCTTCAGCATAAGAGGACCAATGAAAAATTCACCCAGTATTATTTCAATCTTTACGTTTTAATTGCACGTAAAAATACTGGACAAAGTCTATTTTGACATTACACTCCACTCTGAGCAACACACTGGCTACCTCCCAGGCTGTGGGCATAATGAAGTCACTCTAAGTGGCTGGCAGACTTTCACTTCTCTTGCCTAGCTACAGATAAGGGCCCACACTTAAACAAAACACACATTAAAACAAGCACCGCAGTCAAGATTGAGTTAAGAGGTACCAGTACAATCTTTTCAGGCACTCACCTTTTCAAACAAACAAACGAAAAACAAATGAACAACAAATACCCCAAAATACAGG